TCCCAACCAAAGACACAGCAGGTTACAGCACAAGTTCCTCCCTGTACACATGCAAGTTACTGCACTTTGCATGACAACATGTTTTGCCCATGCCATTAGCCCAGGCTTCACCGTCACTCCTGGGCACGTTCTGTGGTGAACACCCTTCACCTCTGAACTGCTGTCAAGAGCCGAACATGCCAACAGGAGCAAAGTTGGTAACTCCATTGCATCTCAAAATAAGCTCCAAACTAGTAACTCACTGGATATTATCTCCAAGATTTCCCACCTTGGTCTTAACAGTCTTATTTTAAACCCACTTTACACATACATGGGGAAGGAGGCGGTTTATTTCTGTGTTTCCAGGCGGTGCCCCCTCCCGGGCACACAGAGCTCGCACCGAGCAGCCACTGCCCACAGGGCACCACACCCGCCAGCCAGCGCTCCCGCAGCGCCCCCCGCGGCCGCGACACCCCCGGCCCTGGGCGCGGCGGCCGTTGCGCAGGCGCCGCCGGGCCGGAGAGTTTGGGACGCGCCGGGAAGTTGTGCTGGGTGTGCAGCCGCTGCCGCTCCCGCTCCTACCATGTCTGGCTCCTCCAACGTGGCGGCCATGAAGAAGGTGGTGCAGCAGCTGCGCCTGGAGGCCAGCGTGACTCGCGTTAAGGTGAGAAGCGGAGCTGGGACGGGGCGGACGTGCCGCCATTACACCGCCCCTGGGGCGCGCCCCACGGCGGTCCTTGGAGGCGGCCGGGCTGCCCGGTGGGGCAGGGTCAGGACCGCCTGCCCCGACCTACCTCACCCCATCACAGGTTATAGCCACGGCTCCGTCGGGCCGAGCAGGGCTCCGGGGCGGCTGCGCAGCCGCCTCTTTGCCGCTGCCGCCGTCCCAGAGCTCGGCCCGTGCGGGGCCCGCCTCGCCCCCTCGCTTCCTGCAGCTTCCCGGGTACCCGGAGGCCGGTGCGCGGCCGAAGCGCTCCCCGGGATGGTTGCTGTGCCCTTCCCTTTAATTTCCTTTTTCTGAGAAGTGTCTTCTTCCATCGTTCTCCGGTGGAAAGGGCCGCTAGAGTGAGGCTCACAACAGGTTGCCCATGCTAGCCTGGCACTGTAAAATGGAGACGTCGCTGCAAAACGTACTGAGTACATTTAACTCGTGCGGTTAAGGGCTGAGACAGGGCCCTGCCAGAAACTCTGGGCAAACTGCAAGTACAAGATACCAGTGAAGATGCTACTTTCTGAAACTTTGGTCCGTATTTTTTACAAGTTCAGAGTTACAATAGAGAAAAGAATGACAAAGAGTTCTTACTGCCTCGTCTTTATGTACTACCCACCAAAACCACCATCTCGTCATTAGGATGTCTTTCCAATGGAAGATAAACTAGCAGTTCAGTCAAGTAGGGCATCTTAAACTGTAGGCTGTATTTTTACACATTTTATGTTAGTACAAGGATCTTCATATATTTAACAAACCCATCTCCAAGATGTTGCTCGTCTTTCACTCTTCAGGCTTAAAAGTTTAATGTGAAGATTTTCTAAATTCTCACTATTACTGCGCAAATTCTTAAACCAAAACATTACGATGGAAGCACTGTATAAAATCTAAGCAAGCTGTACTGCGGAATGATTAGCAGTATTCTTTATACTTTGTGATGTTGTTACATCCTTAGGAACCAGTGGTCAGTGAATTCTAATGCCAGCTTTCATTATGACTAGGTTTCCCAGGCTGCAGCAGACTTGAAGCAATTCTGCCTGCAAAATGCACAACATGATCCCCTACTGACAGGAGTATCATCGAGTACAAACCCATTCAGACCCCAGAAAGTTTGTTCATTTTTGTAATTACATGAACTACTTTGGTATCTTTCAGTGGTAAGTTATTGAATTACTATTCATAAATGGTTCTGTCATTAAAAACAGCTAGCTTTAATTGAATGAGACTGCCTGTATTAAAAGTATTCAGAAGAGACTGACTTCTGCAGCTGGTATTGGTCTAGATCCCCATTTTGTGCTCCTCTTCCCCTATTCTGGTCATAGCTCTATGCTGGACACATGCTGTTCGTAAGTATTATGAGCAGCATTCATGTTGCAGGGCTTCTTTCTGCCTGTCTCTGTTGCTGCAGCAAAGTAGTAGTGGGACCAGCTACTACTGTCAGGACTAACCTGGTTGTGCTGTATTTTCCGTGTAAGGGTGTTACTTCCCTTTTTGCACGTAGGATTACCCACCTGACAGCATACATGGTGAATCCTGACTGTGACGGATAGAACAGACTTTCATTCTTAAACTTTTAAAGAGCACTATCAAAGATGAGTGCTAGCCTCCAAGAGCACTGTCCCCTTACAGGACATGCCCTCTAAGCCACAAGAAAAGAATTTTGTGAAGGCCCATACTCCACTCATACAAACTACTACACAGCTAGCAAGTTTAAGTGGAAACAGTTGAATACTCATTTGACTTTTCATTCCGTAACTTTTTTACCTTCAGTAGCAATACTGCTATCACTATGAAGACTACTCATCTTGGAAATTCTGATTAATTTTAGACTAACCTTTTAGAAAGGTGAGTTGTAGATCGACAGTAGTCTCACTGAAACTCAAAACAATTTGCTATTTTGCCCTCAGTAAACGCATGATAATTTTACCATGTCGCCTCCTCCCCATTGCCCCTTGATTTGGATCTGTTGGTGGTGAGGGCATATACGTTATTTCAAAGCATCAGATACGCAGTGAACCATAGTGCACAATCCTTACACATCTTGTAGTGAGTCTTAACCTTAAAGAATCCTGGTTTTGTAGCTGACTTACATCACCCAAATAATTGTAATTTGCTAGATTTGCATTGTGATATTTAGGCAGCTTTATAGAAAAGTGACCACAGTCAGACTGGGTTGTTTGAATTGTTAAAACTGTTATCCCCTCAAGCAGACTGTAGAAAACTTCTAAAAAGTTTGTGTATAAACAGTGGTTTGTGCTAGTAATAACAGTATAGAGATTGATGCTTAACTATATAACAAATAAAACCACTTCCCCCATTGTTTTGAGCAGTGAATTACAGCAGTGTAACTGAAGTGTGATTTAGAGTTCTTCCAGCTTTTAAAGTTATTTTTGTTGTGAATTTTATCAACTATTCTTATTTAAAAGATTTTATTCTTGGGCAGTGACTTGTGTTCACACTACTGTAGCATCAACACCAAGCAGTAATTCAAGGAAATCAGATCATGTGTAAGTGTTATAAACTGCTAACCTATAAAAAGACAAACTCTACTTTTATCAGTAACGCATACTTGCCCACTGAGGTTTGCCAAGGTCTAGTAATTCCTGGGTGTGGATGTCATGAAATACCGTTTCCTCTATCTTGCACATGCAAGGCATAAAAGGCTTAATATTTTCTTTCTCAACTACAGGCCTTATCTTCCATCTTTCTGAATTTGGAGCAGAGCACTTACTTCTGCTGAAGTTACAGGCAAAAGTCATAACAGCAGCTTAAGTTACACTACCTATATGGAAAATGTCTTTCACTTTATCTCTTGCAAGCACATCCTCAAAATAGACAATTTCTTAGTTATAATCCTAGTGTTTTCACAATGAACCCATGGAGTTCGTGTTTACAGTTAGTACAACCTCTGCGGAGTGAAAATTTGTTAGTTACAGACTACCCCTGCTTTTCAAAGGCAGAGTAGGTGCCTGGCATTTCTATAGGTGCCAAGTGATTTGGAACAACTACAATAGTAGTTTCATAAGACAGCTGTGGGAAAAAAAAAAAAAGAGGATTTTGTTTTTTCTAAATAGCAGTACATGGCATACTCTGAAGGTGCCTGTTCTTAGAGTTGCTTTATTTAGAACTGATACTTTTCTAACTACATCTTGTTTTTTTATTTTCAGATCCTTTAGCATCTTTTCCTAGCTGCTGATGTGTGTATGGGCAGAGTGCCTCAAGGAGTGGCCTGGTCTGAAGTCTGTACAAAAGCTTAGCTTTCATGTGCCAAATCTAACTGTAAAATTGCTACTGTCGTCAAACTTCTTACCATCTACCTCTCCAAATGAACTGTATGCTAGTAAAATACTTCTGTTTCATAAGGGAATCAGTTTTATATATGCCAAGCAAAAAATAAAAGTGTCTTGACTTAATCTGGTCTTAAAATTACTGTAAAAAGTTGATTAACACCTGGCTATGTTGACACCTCACCAGTTACTGCATCACTACAGCAGCTAGGGAGTGTACGGAGGAGTCTGTCTTTACATATTCCATGCTGCTGCAAGTTTTCCCGAGGTCTTACAGAACAGTGAATATTCACCAGTACTATATTCAGAAGCATAATAGAAAAATAAAAAAAAAAGGCTGTTTATAATTCAACTATACAGCCTGTCCCATATCATAGACAAGACAGAGTATTTTAAACAGTAGTTCTACCCTAATAGATGACTTACTCTATCAGCCATCTGACTCTTTAGATGAGTACGAAAAAGCTCTTATTATAGCTTCATATGAAAAGGCAATTCAAAGAAAACATCTATTTAGCTGCCAGTGAATGTGTAAAACCTAAGGCAGAACAATATTCTGCAGGTAATACCAACTCGAGTATAGCTATGAGGCTGAAGAACCGTATTTAAGGTTTTAGTGGGGAAAACCCTGCTCAGAAACCTGACTGTTCAACTGAGCAGCGTTTTTAGGTGAGACTGCTTTATGGCCTTATGAATTCTTTCCCAGTGTTACTTCTTTTCAATTGCTTTGGGTATACACCTCTTCTAAATAGGACATGTACAGAAGAGATACCTTTAAGAGTCAAATGCTTTTTTGTAACTTCAGAAACACAGCTGTCTTACGCAAGATGTTCATGAAATAAAATACCACAAGACTTCCTCGGTCAATGCTGGATTGCATACAACCTAATCAGTGGTCTCTAGATAGGAGACTATTTTTGGAAACCTATCGCCATACCGTAAGTCAGAAAGAGGTTTAAAATATTTCTGTCTTACCTCATAAATGAAAGACATCAGGGTTTAGCTACTGAAGAGAAAAATATAAAAAGCTGTATAACAAATATTTTATTTTGAGAATATCTTTAAACAAAATATTTACTGTCTTTGATGTTACAAAGTGTTATCTATCTCTACAGCACAGCAGCAGTCATGGCACATCTTCAGTGATAGCTAAATTACAGGCTGCTTTGACACTGCAATAGTTTTTCCTGCTAAACTGGAAAAGAGTCACTGTCCTCGTCATGTTGGATTAGCTACAAACATAGGGAGAAAGATGCATCCTACTTGATGTGCTCCTGTAGAGTTTTAAGGTTTGCATCCGCAGACAGATACTGTTCAATATCATTACCATTCATTAGGAGTCTCAGATAATCCATAGTTCGAAGCAGTTGTATTTCTGGGCACGGGCAATTGGCAGATAGCTGTCCCTTATAAGTGAAATTTTCTTCTACTTGTGTCCATTTCTCGTCGCTGCAATTCAAAAGAAAAGTTACCAACCAGCAAATTCATGCAACAGGATACAAACAAGGGTGACCACTCCAGTTTATAGTTCATGATACATTGGCTACATGTTTCTCAAAATATACCTCTAAATACTTCAGTTGAACATGTACTGAGAACTGCATTTATACTGCTTTTTTAGGCTAAGATTTGTGGTTACACTTCATGTCAGATTTAGCCTCCCTCCCCAAGCAGGACTACTTCACTACTTAGACATACCTTGTGAATCCATTCATATTCACCAAATTTGGAATCAAAGGTTCCTTTTTGAAGAGACCTCAGCTTTAATGTAAAACGTGGCCCAAGTTCTTGAATTCCTACTTTCTTCTCACTCTTGAAGATATATCTTGGGGAAAGAAAATAAAAAGTAAAAAATAAAAAATTTAAGAAGCAAGTTACGAGAACATTTGCCCAGAGATGCTGTGGCTGCCCCATCCCTGGCAGTGTTCAAGGCCAGGTTGGACAGGGCTTGGAGAAACCTGGTCTAGCAGAAGGTGTCCCTGCCTGTGGCAGGGTATTGGAACTGGTTAAGCTTTAAGGTCCCTTCCAACCCAAACCATTCTGTGAATCTATCTATGAACGTTCTCATTTGTGAGTTTTGTGGAAAGCATCACCTGTGGAATCTGAAAAAGATGTAGTCTCGCTGGTTGTGAAATGTAGCTACTTGTCTTCCAATGAACTGAGGATCATGTGGGAAGAGAGAGGCAAACATGCGCCCAATAGAATGGCCAAGTCGTGTTGTAAAATTATTCAGGATTACTTCAGGTACATGTTCTGTGGGCTCTTTCCCTTTTCGCTGAAAAGAAAGTAACAGGTAAGAACGCAAAGAACAAATTGAATACAAAAGGATTTTAATATATTATCAAAAAGGAATCTGAAATAAAAGGGGGAAGACAACCATGGCCAGCCTCTCACAAGAGGGCTAGTATTATTAAGGCATGTTATTACATACCTCAAACTTAAGTTCATATACAAGCAAAGGAGCAACTAGTAACATAAGGATCTTTGGTTCGACAATGTAAATTGAATGAAAAAGCACAAATAATCTTACATTTCCTCCTGCACCTATTTCCACTCATGGCAGCACCTGTTACAGCAAATAATGCTCTCTACCTACAACAGCACTCTTCTCTGTATTAACACCAACTAAGAGGATATAGGACTCTTATTAAAGACAGATGAAGTTTAAAAATTACTTATTTCAAACAAGAAAAAAAACATTTTACTGCAAATTACTTAGGGCTAAGTAAGCAATACTTACTACAGAAGAATTAACAAGGCTGTAAGAGTAAGCAAAACTAAGTTTACTTTAGGAACATCTACTGAAATCTTTTATCCCTTTGTATACTTTTTATACACATCCTATTGTGCATATACTTGGATATTTCTAGTATACTTTTATACACACCCCCTATTTGTGTGTATACTATACATTGGGTATTCCCTATTGATGTAAGGTTATCAGCTGCTATTTATTTGCATGACTGTAGGAATACTTGTCAGCCAGTTAAAGAAATTCTGCAAATAACTATGCAAATGGAAATATTTTGCTTATGGAAGTAGACTATACTAGTCCTTGGCCTCCTGTCAACTTACGAAAAACTACAAGATCAGCTAAATGGTACAACAGCACAGGTTTGACAGTTCAAATAGACTGAACATATTTATTATTAAACAACAGACTACCCCCTTTTTTTTTTTTTTTAAGTTTTGTTGGAGTCTCACCTTTATTTCTTTACGCAACCGGACACTACTCATTCTAAAATGAGCAGTTGGGCCATCAGGCAGATGACTTAAAACAAGACCATCTGTTCAATGAGTTAAAAAAAAAGAAGGCTGGTAAAATTCAACATGTAGTTTATAGAAGAACATTAACTGCAAAATGCAGTATTAAAGTACATCCATAATCTTTGCCTGATTTACAAGGTTTCATTATGTATTTGAGCACAGTTTCATAAACTAGTTAGCTGGTGTTCTGAAGGATGTCCATTAAATATTGTTTGTAGCTAATCAGTTACCGTTTATCACTTCTTCACTTATCAATTACTAATGTTCTATCTAGTCAGCAAAACTAAAGAGAATTTCCTGATTAGAAAAATTTATTAATTAAACTGTTAAATTAATCTACACATTACAAACTAAACTAAAAAAGCTAATACACTTTAATAATTTCATATTCCATTAGCCATCAGATACACAAGTTGGCACAGTGATTTATCATGGCAGTTACACTGTAAGCTGCACAGTGAAGAGAAAAAAACCCAGAATAAAGTAGATCTTTGATGCATACCACAGAATTATTTTCCTTCCCTAACAGGCCCAGAGCTAGTATATTTATTTTAATAAACGCACAAAAGGATACTTGGTATTTTGCGATCTTCATTAATGACTATTAAATCCGTGAAGTCTCTTGCAATACACTGTGGAATAATTCTTTTCAAAGCCAGTCCTCTTCGATAGTAGACATGTGAGTTAGGTATAACAGTAGACAGTTGCTCACAGAATCTCACTGTTCTCTGCAAAACAGGTGAGTTAAATTGCAATGTGGTAATTAGAGCAACAAATTCAAGTATTAGGAGAATGGAGGGTTGCCTGTTCCAACTGCCTGCTGATGGTATGTTACCGGCTTCTCTATAAACATATGAAGACAAGCTATTAAATTACTTCATTCAGTCAGTGGAAAAGAAAATTACTCGCAATAAAGACTGCAGCGCACCAAGGACATTTTAGGTTTTTTTAAAGGATTTTTTTTTCCCTCCATCACAGTAAAGCAGAAATTATGGGAAAATCCCAAAAGCAAAAACTTCACAACATTTCAAAATACAATATATCTATTACATCAGGTAGTACTGTATGACTTTCCAGGTAAACTATTTGAGGTGTACTTCTCCTATTTTTAAAACCACTTCTTTTATGGTTCTCACAAAAGTCAGTAATCTTCCAAATTAGTTATTGCAGGTAATTTGCATACAAAAAAATATGCATGAGGTTTGGATTCTGTTATGATGGAACAAGCAGTTCTAAAGAAACTAATAGATTACCTACGTATACAAAGTTATTGATGGTCACTACACAAAACAGCACAAAAAAGTCCATGTGAAAGCTAGTATTTTAAAACTTTCATTTGCCAATCATAGGATGAAAACCTTGACATCTTACAACCAGCTGACTGCTTGGAATGATCGAAGTAAAAGATACGTACCCCACGAGGTCTGTCTGATGTTGTAATAAGAATTTTGGGAACTGTCTGTCTGTTGAAGTATGGTGCAAATTCATCAGTTGCTTCATCAAAAGCAACCTGGAGGAACAGAAATGTTGTTAATACACCATATGTGAAATAATTGAAGAGCAATTGTTTGATATGATCTAAATTCTGATGAAATTGAATTTAGTTAAGAAAAATTTCACTTCTTGAAATCTACCCTATAATTAATCATCACAAGGCATGTGGGGTTTGCATTTGTAAGAACCTAATGTGATGAACACTGGCAGGTTATACTATCAATAACAGTAAGTTAAAAGGCAATTATCTCATACAGATAATGAAAGAATGACATCACCTCTTAAGTGAACCCAGCACATGTAAAAAGTAATCAACATCTTAATGGGAGAGTGGTGAACGTTAAGTTTCATCAATCTATTTTATGACCCTTCTTGGAAAACAAACCAGCAAAACAAAACAAAACAAAAAAACAAACAACAAAACAACCACCACCACAAACAATGTTTAACTTAACAGCACATGCAGAAATTTAGCAGTTACCTCTTCATCATTGGGATCTACAGTTGTTTCATCGTATACCCTCTGATTTTCAATAGTCTTTGGTATGGCTTTTGGAGGGGCCTAAAATAAATAAGTTCATTAACTTAACACATTCATGTGATTTTTAAGTGTATTGCAAAAACCACATTCATACCGCCATGACACAGCATACACTTCTACACAGAACTAGAAGTAGTATTGGTTATATGTCAGCTCTTAATTAGACTGAAATCAAGCAGTGTTACTGTGGTAGCAGCATCTAATTAAGAAACAGGCTTCCAAAAGAAAAAGAGGGGAACTTTCTATCCACTTATCTTCTGTGGAAATAAAAAAGCTCTACTTTTTAACAGCAATGCATTTTAGCCTTGACATCTACAACTGAACAACTAGTAGCCTATAATGTTTACCCCATTTACTTGGGAGATTACGGTAATACAGAAACTCAGAGCTAACTGTCAAACCACTTTTTGGAAGGAAAGGAAAAGAAGCAAACACCTTGTTAGGGGCTAGGCTTGGAAACAACTTGACAACTGGTCTGGGCAGGGTTTTGGCCAGATCTGATTGTTTTAATTTATATAAAAATTACTTACTAGAGTGTAATTTTTAACATCAACACAGTAAAATAGCAATTACATTGGCCAGAAACTACATTTCAGGAAGGGCCTGCTTTTATGCCCTCATTAGTCTGAAACTCATCCTGCCCACCCACAGCATCATTTAGCTCAGTACCAACGACATCCCCAAGCTCAGCTGTTTGATACCTCCGCTACACAGCACAGGGCCGCTGAAGGCTACCACAGCCAGCAGGCACGGAGACCACTTCTCCACTGGAGGCTGTGGAGGCCCCGTCTGACTCTCGACACTGAAGAACCCCAGCACAAGGCTGAGATGAAGAATTATCACAGAAGCGAACTGCCCCCTCCACGCCGGTGCGGAGCACCACGTCCCCGCGGCGGGGCGGCCTCACCACGACGCGGGACCCGGAGATCTTACTTTGTCTCCGAGGGCTTCTCGCTCTTTTCTCCGCTTCTTCTTGGCGGCGAGTTTCTCCTACCGAGAGAGGGAGAGCAGTCCGTTAGCCAGACAGGGCCGGGCACCCCCTGCCCTCCCGCCACGGCCGCCGCGACGGGCCCTCCTCCCCCACCTTCCTCTGCTGCTGCTTCCATCGAAGGAACATGAAGTGCCGCCGCTGCTTGTTCTTGATCTCGGACACGCTGAAAGTCGGCGGGAAGAGAACCCGGGCCGGGGCTGACGACCCCGCATCCTCAGCCGCCGCGCCCCTGCCATCACCCGCCATGCTGCCGCCGGGAAGGCGCTGACCCCTCACCCCTGACCTCTACCCCGCCCGCTAGGAGAGCACGTCTGCGCCTGCGCTGAGGCGGCGGGCAGGAGGTGTGCTTCTGCTTCTGCGCATGCGCGGAGGGGACGGGCTGGCTGCCTGTGGGCGAGGCAAGGGCGGGGAGGTGGTTGGCGCAGGGGTGGGGGGGATTTCGTGCCGCAAGGGTTGCAGGTTTTAACGCCGTGGGGAAACGGCTTCTTTTTACCCCATTGCCGTCATGTTTCGGCCTCGGTGCGTCCAGGAGGTGTGGCTGGGCCTCGGTGGCGGTCGTATAGAGAGTCAGAGAAGGCGGGCTGAGGTACTTGCACAGCCTGTTGCTTCGCTGCGGGTACCTTAAATGGCTGAGCTGGTTGCTCAGCAGGGAGCAAACCTCGAGATAAGGGGATTGAAAAGAAATTATTACTAAAGTGTAACTTATAGTCAGGGGTGACAATACTAAGCTTTGAACAAACATGGCACACCGGCGGATTTACATTAATAAAGCATCACGACCCAGTAGTGTTTTCCCATAAGCATACGTTTTACTTCCAGACGTTTATTTGGTCACAGTGGGTTAAGCTGTGGGAAGCATCTGTTTGAAAGGAATCACGGGGGTTTTATGGTGATGCTCCTGAAAATCATTTTTATTCCATTAAAACCTGTTAAAACGTAGATGAAAATGCAAGAACCCCTACAGCTAATGAAAGAGATTTAATTGAAGTAAAGCTAGAAATTAGTTTTTCTGTTCCTGATCTGATGTTCCATCTTAGAGGTATGCAGGTGCTGCTGCACAGTAAAGACTACTCTGGTTTATAGAAATTGAGTACTCAGGGATTGGGAGAGTGATGGAAGCTGGGTTATTAGAGGCATTTTCAATCCCAGAATGCAAAATTCTGAGCCTGAGTGAGACTGACTAGTTCCATGTGTCCCAAGGATTGTCTTAAAGCTTGGAAAACATCTAATTTTATATACAAATATTGTTTTGTGTTATTAGATTTCTTTTACTAGACAAGTGAAAAAGAACCCTGTTAACATAAACACATGAAGATAGTGGAAAAAGATCTAGAACTTGAGACATAGTCTTAGACAATGTCTGAAACCTACTGCTGTCCTATAAACAAATTTAACTCTCTAGGTTGCTTCTCTACCTACAGGTTATTTCTACTTAACATAGATGTAAATGAAAGATCAAAAGCCTCATTATGCACAATCCCCCTTTTTTCTGGCTTCACTCCCACTTTTGTTAAGAGAAAATATTTCAGCTCTCCTTGGTGCCTTAAGGATAAGTAGTTTCCATGGTAATTAAGGCTTGGGGATTTAGTTGAGAATGTGTTAACCGAAGACTTTCTGTAACTTTATCTCCCTGGCTGATGCAAATATCTGAATTTGCAAGGGCACCTCCAAAAGTCATTAGCAGAGATACTCATTGCTGTACTTAGTAGACCTATTAGGGAGTTCTTTGTAGTTCCAGTTGGCAATGGTGTTTTTGTCGGGATGGTTGCAAATTGATGTGCATGGTAATGGCGTGAAGCTCATTGAGTACTTGTGTGTTGAAAAAAACACATTATCTTCCTCCCTGCCAGCAAAAGAGAAGACAATCTCCTAGTATGATTCACAGACTTTTCTCCTAAGGTCTCACAGGAGCAAAATAATGATATGCAATAATACAGGAACTTCCTAGGGCAGAGGAGGGGCAATAAAAAGATGCCAGAAGCACATTGTGGACTTCATAAAAATAACATCCCTAACAAAGTACACTTAACTTCAATAGAAGGCCCAACTAATAAAGGCATTCATTGCATTAGTTTCATCACAGAGAAGGTTCCAGGGACTTCTGCTTATTTTAGCTACAAGCTCTGGCTGAAGTCCCAAGTTCTGCACAAAGTTGTATTTTTAAAAAAATCATAGAACCATAGAAAATCATAGAATAGTTAGGGTTGGAAAGGATCTTAAGATCATCAACTTCCAACCCCTGCCATGGGCAGGGACACTTCACACTAAACCATGCCACCCAAGGCTCTGTCCAACCTGGCCTTGAACACTGCCAGGGATGGAGCATTCACAACTTCCCTGAGCAACCCCTTCCAGTGCTTCACCACCCTCACAGGAAAAAATTTCTTCCTTATATCCAATCTAAACTTCCCCTGTTTAAGTTTGAACCCCTTACCCCTTGATCCTATCACTACAGTCCCTAATGAAGACTCCCTCCCCAGCATCCCTACAGGCCCCCTTCAGATACTGGAAGGCTGCTATGAGGTCTCCACACATCATTGTCTTCTCCAGGATGAACAGCCCCAACTTTCTCAGCCCATCTTCATATGGGAGGTGCTCCAGTCCCCTGATCATCCTCGTGGCCCTCCTCTGCACATATTCTAACAGTTCCATGTCCTTCTTATGTTGAGGGCACCAGAACTGTACACAGTACTCCAAGTGAGATCTCACGAGAGCAGAGCAGAGGGGCAGGATCACCTCCTTCGACCTGCTGGTCAGGCTCCTTTTGATGCAGCCCAGGATACGGTTGGCTTTCTGAGCTGCGAGTGCACACTGAAGCTGGCTCATGTTAAATTTCTCATCAGCCAACACCCCCAAGTCCTTCTCCGCAGGGCTGCTCTAAATCTCTTCTCTGCCCAGCCTGTAGCTGTGCCTGGGATTGCTCCGACCCAGGTGTAGGACCTTGCACTTGTCATGGCTAAACATGAGGTTGGCATCAGCCCACCTCACAAGTGTGTCACGGTCCCTCTGGATGGCATTCCTTCCCTCCAGCGTATCAACTGAACCACACAGCTTGGGGTCATCGGCAAACTTGCTGAGGGTGCACTCAATCCCACTGTCCATGTAACCACCAAAGATACTGAACAAGACCATTCGCAACACCAACCCCTGAGGGGCACCACTCGTTACTGGTCTCCAGCTGGACATTGAGCCATTGACCACAACTCTTTGTATGCGGCCATCCAGCCAGTTCTTTATCCACCGAGTGGTCCATCTGTCAAATCGATATCTCTCCAATTTAGAGACGAGGATGTTGTGTGGGACAGTGTCGAACACTCTGCACAAGTCAGGTAGATGACATCAACTGCTCTGCTTCTGTCCATCAGTTCCATAAGCTAATTACAATTAATGCAGCATTACAGGGAAACCGCCTTCTGAAGGATTTGCCTGGTTAAAAACAAAACAAAACACTCCCCAACACCCCACCCCCAAAAAAAACCCCAACCAACCAAACAAAAAACAAACAGAAAACACCAGTAGCATTGGTTTGTGTAAACCAACAAGTAAGTTCACCAGTGGAGTCAGCACTAAGGAACTTTGAAGGGGACCTTTCTGTACATTACCACTGACACAGCTACAGTAGTGGAAGCACCATTTTGAGTTGTGTCAGTGGAGCACTGCGGGTTATTCTGCTGCTCTCTCATTTTAAACAATTGAAAAATATTTTTGTGCTTAAGTTGAAAGGAGAAAAAAATCATCTGGGGAAAGGAAATGGAGTTAGAGAATCTTTATGAAAGATGAGAAAAAAGGGTAAGGTGCTTCTGGATTCAAGAATTGATTAGAAAGAGAACTGGTTTTTTGCACGTTTGTTTGTTTATTGGTTGGGGATTTTTCAGTAATAACCAACATTTTGCTATTTTCCTGTTTTGTTTTTCTTAATTACATTACCTGAAGGGAGAGAGGACATGCTGCTTGTCTTCAGGATTCATTACACTGAATAGAATGCCCCAGAAAACACAGTGCTCCAAACCAAGCAACCTCTTGTCTATGTTGGAAGAGAGACAAGCCCTACAGGCTTCTTTACTTCTTTCTTCCTATAGAATACTGGTTTTCTCTTGAAAAAATAAAACAAATGCTATTGTATGTTTTAAAATGGATTTATTTTAACTGCAGTTACATTGTTAATATGGCAAAGCAGTTTCCCTTGGAATCAGTGTGCCAGAGTTCTTTGTGGTTGTTGTTAAAACAGATAGCCATCAATTGGTAATAGTAAATTGAAGATTGCAAGTTTCATGGGCACAGTTTTTGTAATGTCTTAATTGTGAAAATTCTTGGTGTGTGAGTAGAGGACAAGGGAGAAGTGACCAATTTTCCTCTAGAGAAAATCCCCAAAGTTACACAGTTGGAAACAGTATTGTCATGGATCTAAAATTGGTGAGGAGAGGGGAAATGCAAGGAATGTGAGGTCACAAGAAAACACGAGTAAGAAGTGAGATGGCTCAAGATTCCCTCAAGGGTTAGCTTTGTTGAGGTCCACATTTATGGCCCTCAAAACCTTCTGCAACAACCCTAGGCCCTCTGGACTCTGTTGATGGTGAAGAATATACCTGAACTGTTGAAGTTAGTGCTACGTACTGATAACCAAGTGAAGTCAGAGAGGCTCATACGTTTAAACAGGCAGCAAAAGGCAGCATAGAACGGAAATGCAAGTTGGAGTTTTGTAGTGTGGTTGCTTGCTGTTGCAGCAGGCACCCTTTGTTCAGCTGCCCAGGAGGCCTAATTGACAGGAGCCAGGACTGAAGTGTATTCTTATTCTTGCATTCACAGCTAGTTCTCCCATCCCTTCGTGGTGCTGTGTAGATAATGAAGTTCTACCCCAAAGGTCTGGCTTTTGTTATGCCTGTAAGCACCTCAGCCTTGAGACTGCAGAGCGGTTAGTACAGCTTTGATTGTGTCAGAGCCTTACTAGGCCCTCAAAATAGATGCTCTCTGCACTCTTGCTTGCAGCCTCTCTCTGTAAGCATCCCTGGGGACTGTCTAACCGCATTGACTGTGTAGCGATTAAAAATTAGTGATAGTAGCTTTCCTTAACTGGCAGTTCAAAAGTTAGAGTATTCACATTTGATACAGAAGACAAGACTTTCTAGCCTCTGGAGACTGACACTCAACGTCTTTCCTTTCAGTACAATCAAATCACAGGCCTGCAGGTTTTTCAGAGATGAGAACTGTCCTCATTCTTCCAACTGAAGCTATTGTTGCATACAGAGTAAGATGCTGAAAACACCAAACCAAATATCCAGTGGTTGGGTCAGTGTCTTAGAGGAAGAAATGTTGGATTCCTAGCTAGGTTTCAATCCTCTCCCTGTAGTTTACTTTAAAAAGTTATGCAGCAAAGCAAAAACAAGCTGTAGAGAATGGATTGTAGCAAGGTTCAGTCTCCGGGCGTGTGCCCTCGTCACTGGGCTGAAGAATCTGATTCTTTTTACACCCCTGTCCTGCTGTTCTCTTGCTTTTTGCCCAGTGAAGAAAAGGTAATGTGGTCTCACCACCCTGGTGGTGGGAGGCACTCCATGTGGCAAGGGAATCTGTCTTAGCTGATGAAAGACTTGAACATGGGCCCACCACAGTATGCTGCCATAAAAAAAAATGGACACCTATACCATCACTGAGAGAAAGCCTGTTATGTTTTGTAGGGAGTCTGGTTCTGTGATGCTTCTCACGCGTTACTGTACCAAGCCATCCAGAATCTCTGCTGTAGAAAAGTCTCTTGTTTATCAAGCTAAAGGCATAAGCATGAAGTAAATGCTAAACTGCTTAGCTCTGTCCACACTGAGGCATACCCAAAGCTGTTTCTCCAGGGGAACATTATGTAGGGGAGCAAAGTAAAATTACAAGGTGCCTCTGCAGGAACTGTGTGGGTAGTTTCCAAGATCATCTGTTTGGGACTTATGGGCTTGCATTCCTCAGTGGATCTTGTTTACAGCCTTTAATTTCAATATTTTCAGTCACCTAAGGCAATCTCTCCAATGGGTAAAATGGGGATCATGCTCAATAAGGTTGGGTATTATTTATCATCTCATGATGAACACTAGACCTTACTGTGTTCTCTCAGTGCCTGTCCTCATCCTGTAGCACAAAAATTAATTATTTCATATGCTTTTCTGGGTTACTCTTCTTTTAATATCTAAGCTGTGTACAGACATTAAGGTGCTTATTGGAAAGAGTGTCTTATGTCAATTTGCAGATGGGAAAATTAAATCTAAGCAAGTTTTTCAAAACAAAATTTATCAAGGGGATCTATGAATTTAGAATGTCCAGGTAGGACACACAAAGCTGGATATTGAGAGAATATTTAACACAGTATGTTCAAACCACAATTGTGTTCAATTAGATTCACAATTAACTTTACCATGTTCAGGATCATTCTAGATATCAGATGCCAGATATCTCAAGTTCAGCACGCAGCAAATGAGGATTGCAGACTTACTGTGCATCTCTAAAGTAATTATTGTTAAACTACAGGAGAGTAAGGAGAACAAATGAAATTTTGTTAGTTTTCATTCTGTAATACCCTCAGTCTTCAGAATTTGTTTCTGATCTTTGTGGGTTTTACAGTTCTCATGTACAAAGTCCTAGGTTTAAGAAAGCCAACAATGGTAAAAAAACTGCAGGCCCCTCTGAATAGCAGCTTTAACTGATGGAGTATTAATACTCCCTCCCCCAGGAGGTATCACACCAGGACTGAGAGCACTCTGTTATCTCGTCTAGGTCCTTAGTGAGGGTATGAAGACTTGTGGCCCCTGTATGGGTCTCTGAGGAACACCAGCAGTAACCAGCCATCTTTTTGTTTGACTTTGGACTGCTGATCAACACCCATTGGACTCCACAGAGCAGCCAATTATCCATCCAGCTTGTGTAAGATTTTTCCACTCTGTATTTCACCAGTCTGACTGTAAGTGTACTGTGGAACACCATGTTGAAGGCCTTCCTGAAGTCAAGGTAAACAGCACACACTCTTCTTCCTCCTCTGCTGAGTCACACTTCCCATCAAAGAGTGGCCCTTGGTAAAGTCACCCTACACCAGCTGTTCTCAGTCACCTTTGTGTCCCTCGGGTGCCTGGAAATGCCTTCCAGGAGGATTTGCTCTACAGTCATCCTGTGAGGCTGACAGTCGCTGACTTCTCCATCCTGCACTCCTTGAAGTTGCAAGCTTAGTGTAAGCCTTGTGCTATAACATGCAAAGGGCAGTGATTACTGATGCATTCAAGTGGTCTGTGTCCAAATCTCAGAATGTGTATGCATGTGCATGTGAGAAAGAAAAAGAAGCAAAGCTTTCAGAAGCCTGACAGAGAAAAACTTAAATAATCAAAAAATGAACCAAAGGAGAACACGTCAAAAAGAAGTATTTTATGTGATATTCTTAAAAAAAAATAAATCTTGCAAATGTATTCTTTAAAAAGTATGGAAACCATACCATGGAGACCAGTAACGAGTGGTGTCCCTCAGGGATCAGTGTCGGGACTGATCTTGTTCAACATCTTTGTTGGTGACATGGACAGTGGGATTGAGTGCGCCCTCAGAAAGCCAACTGTATCCAGGACTTCATCAAAAGGAACGTGACCAGCAGGTCGAAGGAGGTGATCCTACCCCTCTGCTCTGCTCTCGTGAGACCTCACTTGGGGTACTGTGTGCAGTTCTCGTGTCCTCAACATAAGAAGGACATGGAACTGTTGGAACAAGTCCAGAGGAGGGCCACGAGGATGATCAGGGGACTGGAGCACCTCCTGTATGAAGATCGGCTGAGAAAGTTGGAGCTGTTCAGCCAGGAGAAGAGAAGGCTGCGTGGAGACCTCATAGCAGCCTTCCAATATCTGAAGGGGGCCTGTAGGGATGCTGGGGATGGACTCTTCATTAGGGACTGTAGTGACAGGATCAAGGGGTAATGGGTTAAAACTTAAACAGGGGAAGTTTAGACTGGATATAAGGAGGAAGTTCTTTATTGTAAGGGTGATGAGGCACTGGAATGGGTTGCCCAGGGAAGTTGTGAATGCTCCATTCCTGGCAGTGGTCAAGGCCAGGTTGGACAGAGCCTTGGGTGGCATGGTTTAGTGTGAGGTGTCCCTGCCCATGGCAGGGGGGTTGGAAGCTGATGATCTTAAGATCCTTTCCAACCCTAACTATTCTATGATTCTATGATTTTAAATTCCAGTGTCTGCTGCATATAAGTGTCCAGTTTTAAAACTGTTTAAAAAATTACTTTGCAGCTGCTCCATGGATGTCGACACAATCTTAACCGTGTAGTTATAACCAACATTACAATAATTTATTCCCACAGGACCTATCAAGATGGCATAGCTGGCCATTATCCTAATCTGGGCAGATCAGCTTGATGAATACTGAATGCTTAATTTACTGCAAGTCCGTCAGCACTTCTGGTTAGTTAGTGCATTAAAACTACTAAATAATGCAATCATTGTCTGTAAGCCAAGAAAAAAAAAAGGAAAGATAGTTTGCTAGAGCTTCAGGTGCCTTGTGCAGAAAGCTGAAATACTTCCCCACATAGAAATTGTATAAAGAATAAAATTGTAATTTGATTCATTTAGACTTTTTGAGCAGTTTATGCAATAGCTACCCATGGCAAAGTACTGAAGAAGCATCTAGTGCTTCCAACACGGTATTCTGATGAACAGATTTTGCTGCTTTTGGAGGTCGCTATCCTTTTCTACAGAATTGTCCTGTCCAGTCAATGGCAACATTTCATCAGCTTTGTGGGTATGTACAAAAACTTGAGTTTCTTGAGGGGTGGGGTCCTCTTTGTAGGAAGTAATGATAGTATCTTTTTGCTGGTGGGGAATTACACATCGCTTGGGCTACCTTAATAAAACATTCCTTCATGTATTGAAGGAGAAAGGGTTTATCCAGCATTAGAATATGACTCACTTCTATCCAGATATTTTTCAGAATATGCCACATTGTTTTTTTATTTATTGACTTGCTGTTATTTTATATTAAGTCATACTTGTGCTGTAGTAGAATATCTTCACTGTAATAAATAGAACTTGGTACAGCAAACAATTTTGCTTTTTTTTCTGCTTGCCCTAAGAATTTTCTCCCCGTTCAAAATCATTGCAATGTAATTTGTAGGTGTTACTATAGAAACAAGGTAACTAATTTGTTACAGAGTAAAATACCTCAAGTGAAACTGTTGTTCCCCTTGCCTATCACTTTTAACTCTATGGTATCAACACACATTATCAACAGTTAAGGGAAAGTATATTGCTGAAATAGACTTCTATTTTAATTCATTTCAGTGTCTGTCTATATTAATCTTCACTCTTAGTAGATACTTTACATTTTAAATTGGGGAAAAATAGGATCATTTTCTACTTGGCATTATTAAGAATTCAGAAGTATTTAAAAATGGCTAATATTAGTTAGTTTACAAATTTGTAAGATAATATTTGCATTAGAAACAAAGTTGCAAAGTGATGCATGATAAGGATTTGTTCCACATTGTTGCCAGAATCTTTGGTAAGGTGAGCTAATTTGAATGATGTGCATTTAAATAGTTAATTGCAGGCTAATATTTCTAGGAAAGAAAAATGTACATCAGTTATCTGATGGAGAACTGTATGAAGAGTAGTGATACAGAAAAGCAATTAAGAGCACATGGAAATGCAATCCTTGTGGATAAATGTGGGGAGTACACTGTAGCAACAGGGATTTTGTCAGTGGAGCAGTATGTCTTGACCTGATGCCGAGACAAAAATTGCAGAACTGGTTAAGCAGAACTATACGGTTGATTTGGGATCTTGAAACCCTTCTTACAGAAGAGACTTTAAAAGCTTAATCTCTTTAGTCCGTCAATTAATCACATAAGAGCTAACTCACCTGGAATTATATAAATAAAGAGAATAATTGTAATAACAGACATCTTCAGTTTAACAGACAAACCTTTAAAGGATGTAGCACTTGAAAGCTGGCTCAAGAGACTTTCTTTTTTAATTAAAAAACCCCCAAACACTAAAACAAACAAAAACCCACCTCAGACTGACTACACTGGAATAAAAAATAAGGAATTAAAAAAAAAAAAAAAATACGCCTTGTTACCTGAAATCTTTAGCTCAAGAAGGTGGATTTTTCCAAAGGAAGTGTTCTGGCTCTTCCAGAAATTATATAGACATCACTTGATCCAGTTGTCACCTGTACCATGCAAAAGGTCAGGCTGGAGAATCAGGGGGCTTTCTTCTCACCTGGAAACCTGTGATGCTATGAAACATCAAAATGGAGAAAAATCCCAAACCTTTAAAATGTTTTATAAGAATTTCAGAATATCTGCCGTAATACTCAAATAGTATGTGGTTAGACACTGAAATGAATGGATTTTTAAAATAATTCAATGTAACAGACATTTTTAGCTCTTTTACATGGTGTTTTTTCATGTTTGTATTGCTAAATTTTGATAAATAATCACTGGAAAATCGCAGTATCTCTTTTATTTGAGGCTACACAGAATCTTTTCCCTCATGAGATTCTGTTTCCTTTCCTCACTGGGTTATCAGAATTTTTAGGACTGATATTTCCATGCTGGGTGTTCACTTTCTGGAGAGCATATTTCTGTATTTGGTAGTGTTCATAACCAACATCAAAAGCAAAATCACTAAAGCCAATAAAAATACACAGTAATGCAAGAAGCAGTTCCAAAATATTAGACAGATCGGTGGCATAATTTTGAGATTTACCAGGAGATTTCCTTCTCTTTTATATATAAACTCTAAGTGGCAGAAATTTTTTTATGTGTTGATAAAATATGAACAAGCTTTTGGATGTTTGTAAGTGCTAATCACAAAACAGCAAAGGTAATGAGCACTGTAAGACACTTAGCTGGCAACATATAATAATCCAGTGTCAGGTAAACTCTTTTTTTCCAGTATGCATATGTAGCTCTTACTAATGAAACTCAAGCAGTACCTAATTACTAGTAACAGAAAATCACTGGCGTTTACCTCCCACATACAGAGTCACACCTTGCCCTCCAGGAAATCCAGAGAGCTTCCCAAGAACTATTCCTAGCTCTGGCCTAGATTTTGGCATCTTACAGCAGAAATTCATCAGAGCAATGATGTCTGGTGCACACAGCTGAACTGATTGGAGAGAAAATCATGAAATCCAGTTTTGAGTTAGACCTTTTAGTAGAGTAAGTCTTTTGTTTGGTCTACAGAGCTCAGCAAGTTTGGTGCTCTACCCAACACAGACTGATGCCAAAAGATATCTCTGCTCCTGAAGTAGTGGAAAGAGGACAGAATCAAAAGCACCAATTCAGTAAAAGTTAGTGTATGAAATGACAGGGAAGAATTAGCTAAGATACTATTTTTTTCGTCTATATTTTCCATTTGATTGTATTTTCCTCCTGCTGGGAAAATACTTTGTTTCCGAAGTTTGTGAGGGATTACCTGTGAAAGGGAAGATACAAATGATTGCCTTTGGCAGGAGAGTTAGGCTAAATGGTTCAAGCCCTATTTTTTTGTTTCACCAGTAGAGTTTCAAATCTGGAAAGAAATTATAGCATTCAGTCTGATATTGGGATCGTATCCACTAGCTGACAATGCATCCTGTTTGCCTCTGCAATCCTACTTCAGATGTAAATGTGCAGTATTAGTGCCAGTACAGGACTCAGGAGACCCGTCCTGTCCTCAGATTCCTTCTTCACAAATACTTCATGGTAACTTCCTGTAAGTCCCTTTGTGCCTTATTCTTCTACAGAATTAGTGTGAAAGCATTTTTGCCTTTTATGGATACATAAGCATAACTTCTATTCTAGAAAGAAGAACAATGGCCCAGCAAATCTCACAGGGAGTCCTCTCCTGGGACTGGAGTTGGAGTTGGAGACCATAGTCACTACTTCTCTGATGTGGTGACTAGAATAGGGAATTTAGCTCTTGATTGCCCAAGCCATTAAATACTGAGAAGGAACAAAGAAGTTCATACTTCTGTACCTGGCAGTGATGCAAGGCAAAGTGGGATGCTGTAGATAGGGTTCATGTCCTAAATTCAAAAAGAGTGATGAAAAATTAGAGGGATTTCATAGAATAGACATAAGGTGTGATGAAAGGATTAAGATGCTCTCCTTCTAGTGTAGGGCTCAAGGATTTCCACCTATTTACCTTATCAAAGAGAAAGTTAATGGAGGCCTTTTACATATCCTTCTATGTGCTAAATATCCATTTCAAAACACATGGCTTACCTTTGGCAGACAAAGATCGAAGACATGCAATCTTAATTTGTAGCTACCCAGAAGTCACCATTGAGGGGGTTACCAAGAATTATGGTAACTTTGCTGATGATATTTATATCAAGATGTGATGTTTCCCCCTTAAAATGATACAATCTAGTTCAAACAGGAACTGGTTCAAGGAAACCTGCTCTCCATTACACAGGACGTCAGACTAGCAGATCACACAGGTCACTTCAGTATTTCTAGTTTGTTAATTAAATAATTTATAAATTCATTTTAATGGCTTCTGTGATTGTTAATGAACAGCATTTTTAATGTTTCATGTTTGACTGCAGCCTTACCTGATCTCAATTATTTCTTACTGTATCTGGGTGGTGGGACTTTGTCATCCTACCAGCACCTCCACCTTCATCCCTAAGGATTGCATCATTATCTTGTTACACCACCTGCAGGGTTGATATTGTTGATACGATGCTAACCACAGAATCATTGAGAGATGGAGCAATGGCATTGCTGGAGATCCCAACAAAACTGCACACAAGGTATTAATCAAGACCAAGTTCTGTTGTACTTTTAAAAACTTAACTAGAATATACTGCTCAGATGATTGTAGTCTCTTTGCAGGTCTCTGCTGAGGATTTTTAGCATGTCCTTCTAGATTTTTTTTTACAACTAAATGTATCCTTTTCTAGGGGTTTATACAGGCTGAGGCTGATATTTAAAATTTTGTTCTCACTTGTTCATTCAGCTGTACTTTGCTTGGTAGTTCTGGGAACAGACTGTCACCCTGACAAGAATGAACCACATCCACTGGCCATGCTGTTGTTTCTCTGTGCATTATGCCAGCTTTGCATGGAAAGCAGCCTGTCCTTAGTACCACCTCATGAGGAAGCAGTCCTTACTTTTGGGGACACAACAATTTGCTTTCCTTTGGGCTCAAGATCTTTCATTTTATTTTGCCTGTTGGCAGATATTAAATAAGGTAATTCTGTTGCTTCAGGCAAGATGTCAGTCTAGTACCCTCATATACTGGTTGTGTTTCTAGGTATTATCCTACTTTAGGAAGAGGCAGGCACTCCACAACTTTCTGCAGTTCAAAACTCTTTGAAAAGTGATTTCCACTCATATTTGCATTCACAAATTGTTTCATTTTTCTTATTTAAAAAAGCAAGCTGCAGAAGATAACCCTCTTCTTTCCTTCTGTTGTCCCACATTTTGTTGCCAGTTAATCTCCTGTTAGCTTCCTGAACCATCTGGCCTTTAAATACTTCTCACGTTTCCAAGAATTTTTAGCAGTCACCACTTAAAACTTCAGTGCTACTGGATATTCCAGTGTATTCTCAAACTGAGCTACTGTGATTTGGAAAAGATGTTTACATATGTATAGTGCTAGCAGAGGACTGTGTAGCAGAAACCAAACTATGTACTTGGGATGAAAAGCATTTCAACAGGTTTTAAGAAAAGCTTTGTTACTAGGTAAAGGCTTAGCATGAAGCCAGGATAATCTTGTGACTAATAATATATTAAAGTAAGAAAAAAATTGTTTAGGGGCAGAACTTGTTACAGTATACCAGAAGGGAACCCGCAGAAGGAAGGAAATGAACTGTTTGAGTCTGTTACTGGTAAATACTATTTATTCCTCCACCCATAGGCATACATCTTACTTGTACCACTACTACACATACTAGACCAAACATGAGAACCATAATGCTTCAGGGAGCTAAACATATAAAACTCCCATGACAGAATGAGCTCTTGGGACAGAGCTGCTAATGAGCAATAAGTAACACCTGAAGACTTACACTTAATAAAAAGGAATAAACCCCAGCAAAACCCCTACCCATTATCTGTAGATTTTGTACACAACGTGAAAGATGTTCCAGTTGTAAAGGATAGCCAAGTCAAAGTTGCACAGGCAAATGTAGTTCTATATTTCCTCATTTTGAAATGCTTTATTGTACATTACTGAATCTCTTCAGTTATAAGTTTTTCTTTATATATAGCATGCTCATACACCCATATACAAGACTTACTAGAATCTTTTTCAGTATTAAGCCATCTGAGACTTAGTGCTATGGGAGTTTGGAATAAAGGAATCCAAATATGTGTTCTGGTAAAAGTGCTTTCTGTTCAGGCCAAGAGTTGTTTTTAATAAGCCTAAAGAAGAAACAAACAAACAAGCAAACCACAAAATGTAGATGTAGTTATGGTGAAGTAAGCTGGGGCATGTAATCCCTGCAATGGAGGCTGATGGCCAAGCTGCGTAGAAAGCCAGTCATTTGGCAGACTCTGGGCATCTGCATTGACAACCTCCTTCTGGGGGTACCCACACCACAAAATCCGAAGCAGTAACAGATACAAACTGTATCAGCAGCCAAAAAAATAGCCTAGGTTATTTTTTTTTCCCTTTAATAACAAAACCATGAGTTAGAACAGAGAATATTGGCAAAAAGCGTCTACATTGTAAAGGCTTGGGCCTTTGAATGAATTAGGTCCAAGACCTTGCCAATTGCATAATTTCCAGTTGTAATTATGAGATATTGCTGCCAGAAAAGCTGACTTTCCTTTTGAAAGCCCAGTCCTGGGAAGGTACTGGAAAACCAAGACTCACCTTCAGTATTTCTGACCATCCTTTAACAGTTTCTTCTGATGGCGCAACACTGGTTACATAATTGCTTTGCTAGAGAGCTTTTGAAAACTGGTCTCTCAAGCTTAGAAAATCTGCGTGAAGAAAGTAATAGTTATCATTCAGACTTGACGCCAGACTCTAATTACTACTTCAAACGCAAGAACACAGCATCAACAGGATTTGTTTTAATCTCTTTGGGACACTGCGGTAGCCACACCTACATCCTCAGAAGAAACTTACTTCTCTTTTCCTGAATACTTTGCACAAACACGTATTGCTGTGTGCAGTGCATTTGTGACTTTGTCCAGAGTTCAGCTTTTCGAGTTTTTTACTCGGCTGATCTCATTGTCATGCTTCATACAATACTCATTTAAATTACACTAAGTTACTTCAGATGCTGTTACCCTTAAAAATTTCCCTTGCTTAGGAAAGATACTGTGCTGATGATATACGTGGTAAGGGCCATGAAGCTACTTGGTTTCACTGTGCCCTTGCCACATGGGTTTAACTAATCTAATCAACTTGGTTGTGCTCAGTAGCACTATGTTGTAGGGTGTCACTTGATCCCACGATGTGCTGGGCTCATATATCCAGCCAAGATGGGGGCCAGGAAAAGATTAGTTGCTTATCTGCAATGCTGTGTTTCATCTTTATTGCACTACCTGTCTAGCTGTCAGTCATTTTAGCTAAGCCCACAGATAGCATTATTATATGATTTTCAAAGAAGCCAAACCACACACCTCATTCCTCATTTCTTAAACTGATTGTATACACACTGATTGTTAAAAATGAGGCCACTAGACACCAAAGGAATTTAGCGCTAAAGAATACTGTGTTTTATTGAAGAAAATATTGAAACCCTAAATTCTCTGTTCCTGCAAGATCCTGAGCAGGGCTCACTCTCTCAAAAAAAAACAAAACCCCACAACCCAAGTCCCCAGTTGTATCTTTTGACATAACATGAGATCTGACTTGCAAAAAGCACAGGTTTTGAATTTTTCCTATAGCTTTCCAGTAGAGGCACAGGCTTCCTTAAGTTTAATGTACAGAAAATATGTGTGAACTTGTATTTTGTGGCTTTCTTCAAGGTTGCCCATAGACCTCTCTACACCCAGGGACTGCAAATCACTGCCACGTAGTACACAGGCATATTAGCACAGTAAACACATTTCTTTTAAAGGGGCTTTTCTGAAAACGTTTGTAATTTTCTTCTTGACGTGACCTGCAGTGCACCAGTGGTGCGGATCCCATATGGGATATAATTTGAAATTACTGAGGAAGCCTTCATTGGGGAAGAACATTTTCCCAAAACACCTACCATGGTTTGGAGTTTGGTTTATTTGGAAGAGTCTGTGCTGTCAGACTGATCTTGCTGATCGGTTAGGAAGAACAGAGGGGGGCTTTTCTTTAAGGAGCTAAAATAGGACTCTGAGGAGCTGGGTGTTTGTGGGGCAGATGGCTTTTACCCTTAAAAACAACCTCTCAACGTACCTTATGTACATTGTCATACAGTGACTTGATAGTGTGTTTTATTATGCAATCTGAGGACTGGAAGAAGCATAAGGAGTCATCCAAAGGGAAGAGAGGGGAAACTACTAATGCTGTTAGCAGAATTTCTACTTTGCAGTACCAAAGCAAGACCTGCAGAGATGCTTGGGAATGAGTTCCCTCATCTTCGCTTTCACATGTTGGTTTTTCACAGCATTTAGCAGGCAGAGTGCACCCAGGACATGTTCTTAGTCCCGAGAAAGATCTTGAATCTCCCTGGAGAAGACAGTAACACAAGACAGGACTGGGGAGATGCAGCATTCAGTCTTCATTCTGCCACAGACAGGCTTCAAAAGAACACCTTAAATGACTGAGATGTAAAATAACACCTATATAAGGGATATAACTTCTTCCTTATTTGAGCACTGAAAATAAAGCCATGAACAGCAAAAGAGACAGAGTTCACCATGAGAAGGTTCCTCTCTGCCCACCTCCTGCATGGCCCTGCTTCAGAGAGGTTCTTGTGCCAAAGAAACTGCCCACACATGTAGCTGCTCTGATGTCCATCCTAACAGCCACCCTGGAGCACCAGGGACAAGGCTGTGGCCAAGCCAAGGAGGTGAAACTCCTGCTGGGGACATTTTGACAGTGTTGGGACTACACTACCATCCTCTAAATACAGTTTGTGTCATAGACCACGAAAGGTTCTGATTTTATCCTTCAGGTTTTAGGGGTGATTCCCATGTCTTTGAAGTTCTGATCCCACTGAAGATGAAGGCAAATTCCCACTGAAGATGAAGGCAAATTTCCACTGATATTAATGGGGTTAGGATGTGTCCTTGTCTCTATTTTTGCTGTTGTTTCCTTTGTTGCAGAAGACCTATTCCTTTATTAAAGCTTTGCCTGGAGGGGGGAACAAAAGCCAGGTTACTAAATTAATTATGAAATATTTACATTTCTGAAGCCAACCCCTTATGCCTAGCTCCTCCTCTGATATTAAGATGACAGTTTTTATAGAGCTACAGCTTCTATACTGCCATTACTCCTCTGTGGGATCCAAGACCTGGAGGTGACAAAACAGCAGGCCACCATGAGCCAAGTGACAGTAAGTAGTATTTAGGAATGCTTGCTGATTTTGACTCAGTGCAGTGAGGAACAACTATGTTAGACTGGTGATGATTTGCTTAGTGCTGCATCAGAGATGAAACCAAAAATAGTATAAAACTGGGGAGGTTTCTAAACTAAGCTTGATTTTTACCTAAGAATAAAAGGCTTTATGTTGCAGGTATGTCTGTAGTAATAATCTCAAGAGCAAACTGTTAAAGGCACCAATTTGCTTAGCACTGTTTATGTTTGTTCTTTTGTATCTGTACTTACTTTTTTTGCCTCCAGTTCTCTCAATGCCACAAGAATGAATGAAGCTAGCTTTAGCGTCATCATTTGTAGTGAAATGATCTGCAGTTACGCTTGTGGATATTTTGCATGTCTCTTTTCCATTGTATTTTTGTATTGACTTTAAACCTTAATAGTAGCTCCCTTTTTGAAAAGCTAATGTTCAAATATGTGTGGTTCAAACTAGTTAGCTTAGCTTACAAATTTCTCCCACCTACTTTTACATAGTAAATGCTTTTGACTTTAGTTTGCTCCACCTCTTGTAGGCTTGTACATAGGCATGTAGTGACTTTCTCGTCAGGTGCTGGTTTGTTGGGGTTTTCTAATACTTGACTAAGCCACTTAGGCCTTTCATTTTTATCTCTCTGAGGCATAGCCTATGGAGACTATATCTGTAACATGGATTAATATTAAATAATTATCATAGTAAATGAAACATCCTATTAACTGTAGTTCTGCACAGTTAACTCCTAATGGTTCTCTGTCACCAAACTGCAGGTCTCTTTCCTTCCTGGTGTTGCCCATCCTAATGCTCCTTTTGCTCTTCCCTTGCTTTTTTCTTCTCACTCGCATTCAGATGTGTTGTTCCCTCTTCTCCATTTCTCCTGCTCCAGTTCTGTCTTTGCTCCTGTTTCTCTGGTTCTTCAAGTCTTGTGGCGATAAAAAGGCAGGTTGGTGGGCAGCTAGGAGCACAACTGTACTAATTGTCTCTAATTGCTGTGCAGCATTTCTTCAATGGTCTTCCTTTGCAAAATGTCCCACGCAAAATTATCAGTCCCCTCATTCTCACCTTGACGTACATGAAATAAAACAAGAGAGGAAAAGGTGCAGATTCCATTTTGCACAATGCCTAGGATTTACATGGTCAGTATGTGAAATGAAGCCACTGACAGCAGGGAAGGAAACTTCCTGAAATGGGCATTTTGAATTCTCAGCATGAAGTGGTGGACAGTGGTGATGGGCATACTCATCCCAGTGCAAAAATACTTGTTTAGATTGCACTACAGCAAGAGAAACACTGATTATTGTCTGACAGACACTTAGCCCAAAAACGAAACCTGGAAAAAGGCACAAAACAGCCTTGGACCTAAATACTCCCACACTTTACAAAGCCAGAAGTAAGGAACAAAAAGAAAACACTTACTGATAATGGTTTTTAGTGACTTTTTGGCAGGTTTTGGAATGCAATGGGAAAACCCTTTACTGCTGTAATACGACATGTTTAATTGCGGGCACTAATACATGTGAAGACAGATTTTGGGGTTATTGTATGATGATGCACAACTGTGTAGCTAATTTGCATACAAAATTTCTATGATTAATAAATTAGGCAACGCTAGTACAAGTGTACTACAGCGAACTGCTTGTAGCAATTGTCAGCACTCGAGCAGGCAACATCAAATAACACGCTCTGCTCCAGCAGAGCTCTGAATATCTGAGTATTGGTTTTCAGTTCCTAGACTGCAGTGATCAGAGGAGGGGAAGAATGTTCCTTCCTTTTATCCCTCTTACAGCAGAATCAGAGTACTCACCAGAATACCTTGTGTAGAAATGGCAAACAAACTCAACTGATAAAAAATAAAATCAGGAGGATTTACTGAAAATCATTCCAATGGAATTGTAACGCAGCTGTTTATAAAAAGCAAGATACAGTTTTTCCAAGTCCTAATGTTCTGTATTCAATAGTTTGAGTAAAATGAACGTATCAAATATGCATAGAATAGCATACTCAATACTGGGATAAATCACTTAAAAGCATGAAGATAAGTATACAATGAACATATTATGAGCTAGCATCTGCCCAAGGCAAAGATCTGAAAGTGCTACAACTGAATTCTGAGTTTATGTGCAGCTTCTGTTACTGTATTTGCACCAAATTCATGAGGATTATGAGAAAATTCAGCAAATGAAGCCTTTAAACTGTTATCTCCAATGTCAGTAGAGATGTGTCAGATATGGCTAAAATACTTAGGCTGTCAGGGTATCTAGGAAACACTGATATTGATATCCTAGCTTCACATTTCAGATCAGGCTGTCATCCTTGTGCTATGAAGAATTTATTCCATGCTAAATGAGGGTTTTACCCATGCTTTGCCTAGCGTGTATTTGTGTTCATCCCCACTCCCATCTTTAAACCCCTGTCTTTAAGAAATCTCTTGTGAAATTAAATTGGCACATCATATTCCTGCATCACACTCTGAGCACAGTTAGGCTTTGGGTTACGGTGAGCTTTCAGAAGACACTGCCAGCACCACTCTGTGTCCCGAACATTTTACCCAGGGCATAGGCAGCTCATATGCTCTGAAGCAATTACTATGCTAAGTGCCCAGTGATGTATCTTCCCAGAGACTGAAAATAAAGGTATAAAAGAGATCCACATAATGATTTATGGGTGTTAACATATGGGCGTATGTTTCTCTGGGGATAATTAGGTGACTATGCTAATAACAGCAAGGATGCTTTGATACATTAAAACAAATTCTCACAGTGATGTTCCTGAGTGTTTCATTACTGTCAGGACTGTATATATTTAAACAGGAGAGAGAGATGAGAGAGGCCCGTATGTGTTCGCAAAAATAACCCTCTCCCTTCATGCCGCAGGCAAGCAGAGGAAGCCCTGTTTGACACAGGCGGTTGCATTAGGTGTGTTCACTGCAAGCTTCCCATTGTGGAACAGAAAACTACACACAGTGTGCTGAGAGGGGAGTGGGGCTGTGGTCTGTAAGGATGGCTGGAAGAATGGGCGCTACTGACAGTGAATCAGTCAAAACCTGTTGGGCTTTGAAGGACTTGTGTACTTCTAAAAGTGCAATCTAGCACACTCTGGAGCAGACTTCATTCAGACGTACACCTGCAGAGCTCCGTGACAGCTCCGAGTGCCAGGCTCCATGCCTTGGAGAAGGAAAGGTTCCAGCTCAGTCAGAGAAGTTACTCTCAGAGCTTCCCTGGACTTGCTGGTGGGCAGCTGGCATGGAGCCCCACGTGTCCTTGAGAAATTCTCCAGTCTGTTGCTCACCGCTCTCACCATGACGGCTCTCTAGATTTTCAGTCATTGTGGAGATACCAGAACCAATCCCACCTTAAATGCTGCCTGTTGAAGTGGGCTCAGATTGCAAAGCCTCTGACTGTTTTGCAGTATTGTAACTGCTCTGGAGTTAAACTTTACACAGTGCAAGTTCTTACGCCTTCAAATTTTATCTTTTTTTTCCTTTTTTTTAGCTTTTCCTCCAGGGAGGCCATGTCTGAGCCTCTGATCTCTTGCATTAAGTCTGTGTAAAATTGCACTGTTGCAACACAGCAAACCGCTACCCTAACGATCCACAATTCCCAGTGTTACAGAAGCATCCTCGGGGATACAGGGGTTTATAGAACAATCATTGGCAGGGGTTTTGAGCAGTGACAGGAGACAGGGTTCTGCCCTCTCTCTGGGGTAACAGTGGCTGTGCTGAGGGTAGGAGGCTCCCAGTGGGTGAGTGAGTGGCAGGCATGTATTTCGAGAGGCTGTATTTGCATTTCCTGCCTCTTGCGAGCTTGTCGGGCCTGCTGGGACGGAGTCTCGGCTTGTGGAAGTGATTACAAGGCAATTTATACCAAACAACAATCCCTACTGTTGTGCTTGTTACAAACTTGGCTGCAGTACAGTAATGTTTAGTAGATTAATAATGTCTGCCTTGGCCTCTCCTACTGCCTCAGCAAACAATTTTCATGTATAATACGTGCTCTCATTTAGTCTATCTAGAACACAGCCCAAGGGTCAAATAGCCATACCTGCACACTGACGAGGAGAGACTCTGGGTCTCCAGATGAGAGACCAGCTTTATCCCCTCTCCATACCAGGGTCCAAGAAGACTTCTGCTTTTGCAGAATCAGCTCTGCTGGGCAGGTCCCCCTGAAATCACAGAGCGGTGCCACATGTCCCCTTTTGCAGAAGAGGGTCTGTCCAGTCAAAAGGGTCACCATGGGCAGCAAAGGCAGCACAGAGGCACTGGGACAGGCAGATACTCCTTGAGCATAGGGCATTTTAAAAAAGAACAGCCATTTTTTAAATTAAAACCTACATATATATATATATATATAAAATACGCAAAAATTAGTATTTCACACCCACAATTGATCACAGTGCCTGCTGTGAAGGCGTACAAGGTTGAGTAAGTGGTGTCTGGTCTTGCCTTTGCACAGTAAGCCCAAAAGTTACAAACCCTCTGTATGGCTTACCTTGTCAATTCTCAGTCTCTTGCGGGAAACAGTGAGTCTGCCATGTTACGTAATGTGTGTAGCAGGAATGCCAGGATATGCAAATATAGGAGTTACACAATGAAAGCAAAACTAAATTAAAGCTGTTTACAGTCAAAAAACAAAAAAAAAAAAAGAGAGAACTGGCACTGCAGCCTTTTTATTGCTACACCACTGAAGTAAGTGTGTACTGTCCATTACACAGCCACAACCTGGCTATTTAGGTGCTTGTAATGTATGGTACAACTGTTTCCCTCCCTCTTTCCACTGCTGTTTATGCCTTCTCAGCAACAGCTAAAATGGAGGCTACCAGTCTTGGGTACAATGAAAGGGGAATGCTGTAAGTAGCCTTAAGTTTATGACAGCTCTCATTTGATCGAATTATTAAGAATAGCAATCATGTAAAGTCTAAGGACTGTTGGCTTCTAGCCTGGGGAGCAGAGCTGTGGCAACACTGTTGTGACAGCTGGTTGATGGAGACTCTTTGCTATTGAACTCGGTGACCCAAACACTGAGGCTGAGCATCTACCATAAGAGATACAGGTTGTGTCACAGGTGCAGGTGCCCTCAGGTGCCCCATGGTGAACCTCAGCAGCACTGTCTCCAGTCGAGGATTTCTTGCCATTCCCGTACACCGAGGTCACATGTCTGCAAAGCCATGGGTAAGATACAAGAGTTCAGACCGGTAGGTCGGGTTAGTGCCTGCCAAGAAAAGAGGTGGGCACAAGAAAGGAATTTCATCTTGGCTTATCTGAGTGATGCCTTACCAACCCAGTGCTCAGTGCTCGCTGTCACTGGCAGTTTTCACTGCCACAAATAGGTGTGTTGCTTGACCACAGCTAGGAAAAGAATGAAAAGTGTACATACAAAACAACTTGACAAGCATCAGAGAAAAAAACATTACCAAGCAAATTATTTATCAAATGTTACTTGGTCATATGCAGGAAAAAGAGCTGGTTTGTGAAGAATATCCAAGCTCCCTAGGTTATTTTCACTGAGCTATGAGAGCTGCGTTTGCCTTTGATTCAGATGACTAAATATGAAATCTGTTCTCCTCGTTAAGCACATACATTAAGGCCACATACATTATTTTTATTTCCTCAAGAAGTATGCACAGATGTTTTCTGAAAATGATTTGTTTGCTACTTTGTACACTTTGTGGTTTGGTTGATGTTTTCAGGGTGGAAAGGGAACAAAATCTCCAGTGCCAGCTTGTGGTTGTGGGGCATTTCTTGTTATCTACTTCCTTCTAAGACACTGTTGTGGAGAATCAGTGATATGAGCTATGAACACAGTAAACAGGAAATACTGGTAGGACGGCCAGCTCTTGAGACTGGAGTTTTTGTTAGCAATTCAGGGAGAAAAAAATACAAGTGAGATATAACCCTATAAATGTATTTAGAATTATACTAAATACAGATACACCTTTGAAATTTGAACCCAAAAGTGTACCAGGATTAGCTTTGTCTTCGTAGCAAGTACATGTAAATTTCAGCTCCTAAGGCTGAGACTGAAGGGGCTGAAAACTAACAGCCATTAACTTTTGCTGTAGTGGGAAAATGTAGATGAAATAACATCTTCCTTCTAATATTTTCTGTTCTTTTATTTTTATTTTTTTCCTAATTATCCTTTTTTTCCCTTTGGCAGCCATAAAACTTTGTAACCAAGCACAAATCACTATAAAAATGGAAGAGGGAGGCTGTAAACAGACCATTTTCACTCTTAATTTATTTTGCTTACTCATATTTTGGACATCTTTATTTGTTTATAGGATTGCTGTACATGAATAAAAGCACTATAAATGCTCCCAAGCTATTGGTTACAAATGATTTAAAGCTCATTTCTCCTCTAAAAATTAATCATGTAAAAATGAAGCCTTCCTGTCCACAAACTCATCTCCCTGCCTGTATCCAAGTCTGTCAGCTCTTTAAGAGTCAGCTCAAACTGAGCAGAAGTGCTGTGCCTGATCTCAGCAGTGCCTGGAATATGGGGCGATTCTGAAGCATTCTCGGATACTCTTCTCTTGTTAACTGCCCATCCCTGACAACCTAGTGCGTGAGACAGGTTCCTGTTGTACCTCCCATCCCATATCCATCATCACCCACAAGTTCCCCTGGGGACGCCTGTGCATGGCTGCTCATAGCGATGTGCTTTGGTGCATGCTTGTATGGCAGTGTCCCAGCCCAGTGCTGATGGCAGGAGGAGCTGGGGACAGCACAGAGTGTGCTGCTGGTGCAGCACCCAGAGAAAACCAGCCATACTTTACCTGCAAACTGACTGCTTTTACAGCTAACAAGGTGAAGGCCCAACACACCTGGCAACTCACAGGGCCATTTTTCAGAGAAGGACATACTTTAAGGGAGACATTTCCTACACCTTCTATGTAATGAGGGGCTGTGCTGTTTGGGAGGAATGGTTTGTTATATCACTGGAGAAGCACCAGGGCAACTGTCATAGTGGATTATCAGATGCCTGAAGGCTTTGTAGATGTGCTCGTTCTGCATACAGATGAACCCACCACTTCTCCAAGCTTGCTCAGCAGTCCGGTTTAAGTCTCCAATGCAGGTCCACTGATCTTTGTATTCCCTTGAAACAGCCCATTTAGAATGATCATTAATGGAATAAAAGGTGAAATTCAATGGCATCCCTATTAGGTTTATGTTGTAGACATGATAGTCAAGAGAGCAATTTGAGGGAAGTTTTTGGCCAGAATGCTGCCAGAATTCAGCCAACAAATCAGTCTTCAGCTCCTGAGCCATCCAGGCCACGTAGATATCTGTGGAATAACACATGGAAATTAGTCTTTCCTGTTCCTTTGTTTAAGAGGGGACTGAAAAGTGTCACCTAAATTGGCCTGGTTTGCATAAAGTGAGCTAGAGGGGATTTCGCCCCCTCCCCTTATTTTGACTTTAGTTTCACAAATTCATTTCTACTTTTTCTCCTCATCCTGGAAAAGCTGTTACAAACAATCAGCGGCAAAAAGAAGGAAAAAATAATAATCAAGCCTTCTTCGTAACAAGAAGCAGGTGATCAAACCCCTCTGTTGTTATTACTGAATAAGAGGAAATAAGTTTTCTGAAAACCCATTGTTGAATACCTTAAGGCATTTGAAGGACCAGGGAGCTTTTTGCTTTGTGGGCCTGAGAGCATATCATGATGGGACACAATTCCTTGCCCTTTATTACATTTATTTCTGAAGCTGAAGGGTTTTTTCCCCTCAAAGACAATACTAATTGACAAAGAACGCATTAATTGCTTATTTCTCAATTAAGAATGCATGATAGGTAGAGCAACAGGTTCTCTTACCGTCTATGAACAAATGTGACTTTGCAAAGTGGAGAAAGGTTTCCCCCTGAGCTGACTGGAGCTTGGAGAGGTGGCGCAAGGGGGCAGAGGGCAGCCTGGACCCTGCACAGAGTTTCTGCAGATTTGGGAGATCAGCTTGAAAGATGTTAGGGATGGAGCAGCTGTAGATTCCTGGATTATAACTCAGCATCTGTTGGTCTAAGAAAAACCCAAATAAATAAACACTTGTAGAGTTAAATGGGTTAAAGCGAAGCAATCAAGAGAGTAAAGTTCTGCCTTGGAAAGGAAACCTAAATCCTTCTTAATCTTCACAGCCTGTCTCTGGGAAGAGGTCAAGTATCAAAGTATCTTGGTTCAGCCACCAAAGTCACACCGATTGCTTTCTATTCTGACTGGCCCTGCAGCACGTAGACTGTCTGGGGGAGTACACTCAGGTTTTTCCACTTACACCTCATTATTCTGAGCAGAACTGTTAACTGTGGATCTCTGTCCACTGCCACCTCCACCCAGGCTCATCTTCCAACCTCTGAGCGATCACAAAAAGCTCAGAGGGCATGAGCAAATCCAAGCCTGCCCATATTTACAGGAGTAGTTTGTAGTCAGTTTGTTGCCAAGCCACATGCAAACAGAAGAGCTGCCAGATGGTCTAGTCTGGTTTTAGGGAGAACAGAGCTTGATTTTCAGCATCTGGATTGAATTCACAGAAGAAATGTACTTTTCTGTACAGCGCTCAGTTTAACTGTAGAACGTCCTTGTCATGGATGTCATAAAGGGCAAGGGAACAAATGGGCTCATTAGATGAGTTCATGGAAGACCAGTAAAAACTTTCCAGTCCTTCTGGCTCAAGAAATCCCTGAACCACAGATTGCCAGAAGCTGGGAGGATGGAGCAGGAAAATCACTAGTGTTTGCATCTCATTTTCTTGTCCTCTTTCCATAAACACATGCATAGATGCACTTCCACAAACAGGAAGCTGGTTTTGATAGCTCTGAGGTGTGGCCAGCCTGGCAATTTGCACAGTGTACATGTTTCATTAATATCATTTGAGGTTTGTAACTGAGAAAAGAGTGAGAAACAGTGTGAAAAGCATTAAGGAACATGCCAGTATGACCTTTTGTAATGCCTTTTGATACTCCCTTTTAAGGATTTCAGTATCAGAGACCATTATCAGATTGTTCTGAATTTTACAGGTATGAATTTGGGGGTTTGTGTTTGTTGGCTTTTTATATATATTTTTTGTTGTTGTTGTTGTTTTAATTATTTATTTTTACTATTGGTATTTTATGTGGCAAAAAGTAGCTGGAGAAATCTTGGGTGATATTTGTTCCATATTCATAACTCCTGACATGTGAAGCCTCCAGCTCAAGCAGTGGTTGCATGACATTCTTAGAACCGCAGACAGTTGCAGCTGAACGAGCTATTACAGTTCAAAGTGATTTATCATCCTACTTTATATTTCCCAAGTATTTTGTGTGTGTGGACTGAGTTTATCCTCAATAAGCATCTGTGACTATTATTACCCCAATAGTTCCATGGGGAGATGGAGTCAGAGTGAAAGAGTGAATTTCCCACATGCACAGAGGAAATCATTAGATAAACATGACTGAAGCCAAGAGCACTGTTTGTAAGGGCCCACTTTGGTTTCCCAATCTGACCATGAAGGACAAGAACAAGCAATTTTTGAGGCAAAGCCTCAGAGAGGTGTGGTGGGACAAAGGGTTTCTCAGGAGGAAGCTTTTCAGACCTATTTGAGTGAACTGGTCATATCTGAAGGTTATACAGATGGCCGTCTGTCCATAGATCTCCCCAGTAGCTGGATACCCATAACCATCCTCAGGGATGGGAGGGAACAGGGGCACACTGTGAATCACCCAGAATCCTTGTGATTTGTCCAAGAGCAGAAATCCTGCCAAAAAAAACAAAGTTATTGCAAATGAGTTAAGGAGGAAAAGGCCCTGAGACAACAGAGCTGTGTACTATTTCGGATTTGCTCCTGCAGAGACCATACCTCAGTGCGTTTATGTCTACAGTAAATTGGCTCTGGATTAATGGATTAAAGGAGACACTAATAATGTATTAAAATTACATTAATTCTCTCTTACGTAGCCAAACTCAAACTATCACCATTTTCCTTTTGAAAAAGGAATCTTTTAAAAACCCTTCTCTTTCTCTGCTTAAAATTTTGTCTTCAAAAAGTCCATTGATTTAGTGGCTGTGACCCTTTCACCACTGCTCATTTTCCTTCCCTTCATAGATTCACTGCATAAGGGGAAAGAGACTCCATCAACACTATATCATCCTTTCTAGACCAAATCCTCTTCCACAGGGCAATAGTAGAGAGATGGGCTATGCCTCCCCTGCAGCAGGGTGCTCTGGGAAGAAGCGCAGCTTCTGAGGTGTCCCCACTGTTGCAACCTGAACATACAGCCCTGCAAAATGTGTTCATCCCGGAGCCAGGCTGGGCAAACCCCATCTGCTTCCTCAAGGGAACAATTGGACCTCCACTAAAGTTTATGCTTATTAGACTTGCTTTACTTACACTGCATACTTTAGTGGCAGCAGTTTTTTGACCCAGAGAGAGAAAGTGTGGAGGGGTGTCCTGGGTTTGGCTTAAACCACAACAAAGGAATTATATTCAGGGTGCCTTTCCCTTTACACCTTGTACTGCTGTTGCCATTAGGCTCAGGACAGTGTGGTTTGTACTCACTGAGAGGAGCTATATGAGTTTCAGCTCTTGAAAACAAAGGGTCTGTAAACCCTCAATTTTTCAACGCAGCACAGGCCTAACAAAACCAAAACAGAAGCCACAGCCTGTATAACTATGTAACAAACCACACATGCAAATCGTTTTCCAGTTTTGCTATAGGCAGAAATTTTAGATATGCAGATAGACAAACAGACAAGTAGATGTTATCCACAGCTTTAGAAAGGAGAAAATAATAGCTTGGGACTCTCCCTGTACCTTTGGTATGTCCTCTTTTCCACCTATCAGAGTCTGATTGAGGGACCTCATCGTTGTATATCGCATATGCAATGCCATTCTTCTGCAGGAAAACACACATTTCTGAAACATGACACTGAGTAAAAGGAAGGCTTTTAAGTGAACATCTGCTGGGAACAGAAGAATGAATTCAGGACTTGTCTGTGTGAACATTGTGAGCCTGATCTTTCTCCCAGTTCAGCTGACACAGTCTCTGCAGAAGTTAGAGTAAAATAAACCTGAAGACTCAGCATGAGGGTCCCAGTTAATGTAAGTTGGAAGTTCTCTCAGTCGTTGCAGCAGATCTGCCTCAAGAGGTCAGTTAGGCTCACTAAGACAATTTAAATGGGATTATTTGGCACTTACTCACAAAGAAGTTCCCACCCTTTTTTTTGTGCCTCTCTGATTTAGCAACCAGATTTGGTGAAAGTGCTTGCCAAGGAACAACAGACTGACAAGTGCTCGTATGAAAGACAAGCAACTACTGCTTTTTGCAAAATACTGGCATACAGCCACACCTCATTCCCCCTGAATGGAGAACTTCAGAGGAGTTGGGACACGCTCCCCCTCCTGATGTACTTTGTGAACAGTTTATTACAAGTATAGCGAGGTCTGGAACAGGACAGTTGACTGGTTTGCCAGTATTTGGCTGACATCTGGGAGTCTCTTCTACATATAAATTCATGACACACTACCACTAACCCACAGCAGATACGCAAAGACACACCCAGCTCCAAAGAGTACTATGTAGGTGGTAAAAAAATAACTATAGGCAGATCTTGTTGTATTTTGCAATCGCTTCACACAAATATAAATGAGGTGTCTGACTGTGAGTGTAAAAGAAAGCAAAGGCCTAACAAGCAGCCTATCACTGCTGAAGCATCATAGTGGTTCAGGGGGAAAATCAAAACCCAGACTTGTGACAGAGCATGAAACACGTACATGGGAGGGCCTAGGACAAGTGTAACAGTCACCACTGGCCCTGGTCTGAGTTCACAGCCAGCTCACAGCTCAGATGTTGCTCAGTGTGGATTGTAGAGAAGCAGCCAAGGGGACTATGCACCGATGCTAATTTTTTTGATGGGCAACACTTTGACCAGAAATTAGAAGTCTGAGAACAATTTCTAATTGCAGCCAAAACTGCAAATAATCTCCCAGCTGCCAAGATGCTTCCCCTGACGTGTTGTAGTAGATCTAGTCTGTCAGGTCTGGCCATACCCCTACGTGCTTATTTTGGCTGGTTTAATTTCATTTGCATGTAATATCAACCCAGCATCCCAACAAAATGTTAATTAAATGTTACTTGCCTGGGATTCATACATCTCATACAGCTGCTTCAGTGTTTGCCCCAGAGCGCCTTGTGTCATGTTGACAAGGTATTTACCGAGCTGCCACTGTGGAGCCAGGGCGTCCATGTACATGTATTCCAGCCCCAGCATGGATATCTCTCCTTTGCCATGTTTTGGCAACTTGTAAAGAGCAAACCTGCAACAGTGAAGAGCAATTGTTATTTTACAGCCATCCTGTTTGAATGTGTAAACCAACACTTCCTCCCCTCCTGAGGATTTAAGAGAAGGGTGATTCTGGGGGTGCCTATGCTGGAGACGTACCAGTGCCACCAGCATGCAGAATGAATGTCTCAGCTTGAGGTGGTGACCCAGTGCAGGAACCAACAGCAGCTCAACAGCACAGCAACTGCTGCAGACAAACTTGTTCTGCTTCTTAGCGAGCAAAGGAGGCTGATTCAGCACCAAAGTGCTGTTGCTGTGGCCAGAACTGCTGTTGGTACCCTGAAAGAATTTGAGGTAGCCCTGGTTTAGAGTCCCATTTAGCCATCAAATCCCCATTACTCCTGCTTCTGGTAAAGAACGTCAGGTCCCAGACTCAGCCTGACATTCTCATGGTCAACCTGGACACCCCTTAAAATTGGTTTTAATATTACATAAATATAACTCTAAGCAACATAAAATTGTGCACTAGAATTACAAAAATGCCTAATGTTATGTTTATACATATTAAACCCACAAAATAATTATAAAGCCATGTTATTCCAATCCTGCTTTTCATAACAGACTCTCACTATCCTGAACTGTTGCAGACTATTTGCAAACCATTAGCCAGAAAGACAACTCTTTTCTCAAAGATTGAGTATTACTTGAATATATACATATTCTCAAAATGTTGAGTACTCAATATTGTCAGCAAATGGCTCAGCTCATACTAATGTCCCTGATGAAGTAAACAGGTTTTCCCAGTGTGTAAGTCCATGGGATTAATTGCAATATAAATAATTGAGACCCTTTCTCTGAGTGCCATACTTGAGTAATTTGTTATTTACGTCATTGTAAGAACTGAGCAGAATTATTTTTAATCCTATACTGTTTATTAAAAATGCAGCCTGACTGTGCTTAACCTTTCAAGTACAGCAGGAGGAGTAAGCCTTGCCCAGTGTAGTTACAGTCTCAAGCTGGTCCAGAAAGGCAGCTCTGAAAGCAGGTAAGAAGTGGCAAGAAAACATTTTGCTAGAGGAACATTTGATCGGTGGGAAACATGCATGTATAGGCAGGACAGAAACACATCACTGCTGGTCCTGGTCCTGGTAATCCACCTTCATTGCCAGTGACTGAGTGATGTTCCTTAAATATCCCAGGAGAAATTGTTGCTGATAAGAGATCACAGAGAAGAGAATAATATTATTTGGATAGTAAGGCTGGGGACAACTTTACATGCACAAGGATCCACAACAATTCCTGTATTTGAAATGAAGATTCAGAAAGGAGAGGAACAGCAATAGCTACAATAGTATAAGCTGATCCAGGAATTAGTATCTGAAGCCTTTCCAAACTGCTTTGAAATGTATTGGAAAATGTATGCTTTCAGATGTTTACAGCCTTGCATCTGGGAAACACATGTTAGCAGGTATGCTTATGGAAATGCTAGCAGTTGAGCTATCAGTAAATTACTTGCCAGTTCCCAGTGGATACATGTTTTGGACCTTTCCAGAAAGCCAGTATTAGTGTATTAGCAATTAAAGTTGTATAGAAGTCTTCACTGCTGTTTGTGCACAAAAGTTTCTCAAGAGCTTAGGCACTGGTAGGAGCAGAGTGAAAGCTATTTTCATGAGGACCAAAAGAAGGCAAATCTGCTTATACCCAATTAGCATTGTCACATTGCCTGCTTGTGACTGAACACTAACTTGATCCAAATAATCACATCTTTATTTCTAACCACATCTTTACTACTTCTCTCCATCCCCTTTCTCCCCAAAAGCCCCAAAAGCATGCATCTGTGGCTTCCACCCTTGACTCAGCATTTCTCAGAAAGCAGTTTTGGCTTTTATGTGCATGGAAAGCTTCCCACAGAACACAGTGAGTTTAGATGAATAAAGGAACAACTCTGTGCACTCCTTAGAGAGCTGATCTTATGGCCATTTGCTCTGGTAGCTCCTGCGTGAGGTGCAGTGAAGGTGGTGGGATGAGATCCTGAGGGGAATGAAAACACAGGGGAAACTTCTGCCAGCACCAGCACTGTGTGTGGGTAGGAACTACAGGCATAGCTGGGGAGCACAGATAGGATCAGGGCAGATAGGGCAAGTGATTCCTCTGGTTCAGTGGCAGACAGAAGGGTGCATGAACACTAATTATGGAATGCTGCAGGATGAAACCACTGGAGAGTAGGAACTCACATAAAGCTCTTGCTAACTGGATATAAAACCTGCAGTGCCATGTTTGTTTGAAAGAGCATTGACGTCTTTTGGTTAAGAGGAAGCATTTCGTAGCAGTTTCAGTTCTGCTTCTCCTATCAGCTTCATAGCAACCAAATCCAGAGTCAGGCAAAAGGTGACTATTTCTTGTCAATAAACTAGGGTGACCATTGCAGACAGGCAAGTTTCTCTTTCATTTGTTCATGGCACATTGGAAAGGAAATCTCCCATCCTTCTTGTTAAATTTGTCAGAAGTTAACACAGTTTTGCCTGGGCAGATCCCCCAGTTCCCATCTGGAATGAATCCCACATTGCTGGTGTTTAGACAGAGGCAGAGGGAATTACTCCTAGCCACAGCTTTCAAAGAATTTCTCAGAGAATTTGGGTACAAAAAACATGTTTAAGGAATGAATGGTAAATAGGGTTGGTTTCTTTGTGTTTTGGTCTGGGCTTGGATTTTTTTTTTTTTTTTACCTTTAGCGCAACACACGCATTTTGCAAGGAATAATTGTAGTTTGTGGAGAAATGAAATTTCTCATACATTAAAGCTGTTGAATAGCTGCACTAAAGAAAACAGTTTGATCCCTGAAAACTCACACTGTCCAGAAGGGCCTTGGCAAGGGTGACAAGTCAGAAGGCTGGACCAGACCCTCATACATTTGATGCTATGCAAATCCAGAGCACAGTCTGCTTTATGCTCCTGCCTGAGTAGCCCGGCCGTGTCAGCAGGAGCTCCTGTCTTCCCTGCAGTTAGCTGTGTGTGCAAGGGGTGCGTGAGAATAACACCTACTTTTTTATCATTTATATCCAAACTAACCATTGTTCCATGAGATGTACTTTTATTTTGACATTGGTTGATATTTATCTTTGGGAGGCTTCTGTGCTCTTTTTTTTAAGAGCCCTTATTTCACTTTCTAAACCTGTGCTGGATATCATGTAATTATACTTTGTGTCTTTCATCTTCAAAGCATATTAATCCAATTAATCACTTAAAACCCAAACTCAGGCTTGCTGCTGGCAGTGGGGTGGTACCAGTTCCAACGTGCCAGCTGCTCTGGAGGCAGGGAGCGACCTCTGCTTCCATCACAGGGCACAGACGATGCTTTCCCACACTGCTGTCCCCACCTCACATTCCTCCTGGGGTGGCTCAGCGATGGCAGCAAGGGGACAAGTCCTTCCTTCGTGTAGGAGCAACACGGCTAAGGGCGAGACACACGTGCGGGGCTGCCGCCAGCGAGTGCAGCTTTGGCACCCGTTCAGAGGTTACACTCCCTTCGCTGATGAGACAAGAACACTGTGTAAAGCAGTGATTACTCTGCAGTTAGTCATAAACCAGTATGGTGGCTGGTTCAGGGAAACAAAATCACATTTCAATAACTTATCCTAGGTTTTCCAAATGAAAAGTTCAGCTACCACTCACAGGCAAACAGGATTAAACCACTGATTGCTATGCATTACTTCCCAGTGATCCAACTACTCCAAGCGGTTTAATCTCAAGTGTTGTTTACTCACCCAGTGTTTCTCCCCTGCGTGGTATTTACTTACCAATCAACTGCCTCCCCATTTTCATTCCTGCAGGAGATCTCAGCTGCCCACAGGGGCACGGAGGAGAGAAGCAGTAGCAAAGCACGGGGACACCCTGCAAACCTCGCGGGCATTTTGGTTTCTCGGCTGCGCAGGGCGAGCCCTGGGTAGGCTCTAAAAGGAGAAGTTGTGTTGCATTAACTGTCAGCTGATGCTGTGCAACGAAACCAGTACACCCCGGGGCAGCAGAGCCAGCCCGGATGTCAGGCTTCCAGCTCATGGCAGTGGGGCCAGGGCTCCTATTAGACACTGGAAACTGCTCATGGACAACAAAACAGCAGAATAAGGCTTGTCAAGTTACGTTTTTGAGGACACTTCCCACCGTATTTTAGGAGGTGCTATTCTAACTATTTAGAGTATTTACGGTACTCTGTTAGAAAAAAAGAAAAGCCGCAGATAGGGAAACCCTTTTTGTTTTCCTTTCATTGCTGCAAGGCTGAAGTATGAATTTTTTACAACAGTCTGAAAACAACTCTGCGTTCAGACAAGCAAAACAAAACCATCTCGCTGCAACTGCAGCCGCCCTTGAAGCCAGTGCAGCTTTGTACCCTTCCTCAAAGATGGTTTCTGGTGAAGCGCTGAGCTATGCTCAGCTCTGGGGGCCTTCATCTGCCCGTGGGGACTGAGCCCGCAGGGACTGGCAGGCAGAGAAATGCTGTGAGCCACAGCAATTTACTTTCAATTAGTTAATATGGGTTTTTAAATTACCTTCTAAGTGCATTAGCCTGTCTCTTAGGACCAAACATGCTTGGATTGAGCAATTTTACATCTGATAAGCTTTTAGCAACTCACACATAAAAAGCTTCAATTTATATTTTGTTGTGTAAAGTGTTCTTTCTCCTTCCTCGTTATGCTTACATTAAAAGTTGATGATTTACATTAAAAGACGTTGATACCAAGTATGGGATATTTCAGCCTTAGGGAAAATCTAGTGCAGTAAATTCTGGGTATTTTAGCATATCAGAAATCCTCACAACCTCTGCGGTATTTTATCTCCTTTCTAGTATAGCCTCTCCAACACTGTAATAGATGTGTAAATGGGGGGGTGTTTGACAGCAGCAGGGTAAAACTGAATAGGGCTTAGCACAAACATAACCAAACATAAGCAATCTCAGAATGCCAGGATTTTGGAGATGTTGATCAAGAGCTGAATTTCACTGTTCAGACTCGCTTCTGATCCTTTTTGTAGATCAGAACTGTGTTGTGAGGAAATGCTTTCAACCAGATGAGCTCGGCCTGTATTTTCTACTTGCTCTTGGGAATTGCAGTGTGCATGGAGGGGTTAACAAAACACACGATATTCCAAGCATGTGACAGCTGCTTCCATTTTCTCTTTGGGACTTACACCTGCTCACCTCTCCACCCCTCACAGAAGAGTTGCTTTGGTACTCACTGCTTCCACTCGGCCTCAGTGCATCGAAGGTGCATGATGTGGGGCAGCCCTAGGGACATGGAGTGCCTGCTGGGCTCTGCCTGTTAATGGGGGGCTCTGCCATGCAGGACACTGACCAAACTTTGCTGGTCCCTGCGTGAAAATAGAGGGCTGAGCACATGGCACATGCAGAGCCTGACAGCGACTGGAGGAGCTGGGAGCCAGAGGTGGTGACAGTTTGCTCTCGGTGCCAGGGAACATCAGGAAATGTATGTAGAGGTGCAGCCTTGGCCTGGCAGACTGCCTTTGGGGTCACGGGTGTGAATGCTGCCTGCCCTCTGCAGTGCTGCACCTGTGGTAACTGAGTGCACTGGGACATGTGGGGCTCAGAAAGAGATGTCAGAGGGGAGACTCAGTGAAGCTCTATACAGTCAGGACTAATGCAAAGATAATGAACAAGACAGACCAGTTTACTGTTACTCATGGCATATGATCTGTCCCCCGTGAAATTTTAAATCTCTATCACACCTGCTACTAATATAATAATAGCTTTCAAAAGTGTTTTTGATTCCCATCAGGACTTTGCAATTTATAATGAAGGTATTTCCATTGTCTCAGGTAACCACAGAAATAAAGGTCATAAACATTGTTTGTTTCATTGACTGAGTATAACTCAGGCTTTCGTCAAATTCCATTACAACTGTGATATATTTTCTCTGTAGATCAAGGATGTAGAAGTCCTCAACTGTGAATATGGCAAGAACACAATTAAGTTCCTTCGCCTTCATAGAGAAGGGAAGAAGCACTTTGTTAAAGAAGTGGAAGTGTGCACACATCTCCGGCTGACTTCTTGTCATGAGTACCTGGATGGAAACAACTCTGCTGTGATACCTACAGACACCATAAAGAATATTGTCCTTGTGTTGGCTAAGAAAAATGGGGTATTTTTTATTTTTTTAACTAACCTTGCTGTTTCTTATGACTTCATTTGGAAGTGTTTGTTATAATAACCTTTTACTTTCGAAATACGACAAAATAATCTCCCTGCTACTAACATGTCAAAGCAGCGCTAGTGACCTTCAGTGATTTGGGAGAAATTTTTTCCTCCTCCAGTCTTTATCCTGTGGACTCCTCCTTAGTTTTCCAAAGTCTTTTATGTTCTCACAGAACTAGCAGTAGTTTTTGTAGATTTGTCATAGAGGACCCATCTTTTTAAATCTGCTAGCATATAATACTGCATTATTCCTATATAGCATTTTAAACACAAGGTCTCAATGTATATGAGACTCTTCTTAATTCTGTTAACTGTGTATTTACCTCCCTCAATTGCGTCTATCACAAAGACAATCTGTAGTGTAAATTGTCTGTCTCAGTAATGAAATCTCACCTTTAGTCTGCAAAGCTTAATCAGAATATTGCTATGATTATTTCAGCATTGTATCCTCAAAGCAGAAGGCTTTCTAGCAGTTTTTCCAAGAACTGCAGCTCACTATACCACAGAATGGGAGATTTTTGACACGATTCTAGTTGTTATTTGCACTGTATGCTGCAAGACAATCAAACGACTAGGCACAGTGTGCAACACCAAAAATGAGAGAAATCTGTATTTTTACCAACACTCATCCTTCCCAAATATTTGCAACAATCAGAACAATCTGCTCTCATACACGAGGTAATTGCTTCTTTCTAATAATTTTGGTTTTTGTCTTAGATAGCAACTTTAGAACAATTCGCTATAGATATCTGCCAACACTTCATGACAAAATTTTGCCAAGTGGCGTACGTCAAAACCTACATTCAAGAAGTACCATGGCAACGTCTACACGAGGTATCTAAAATACCAATACATTCTGTTTGTTATTCTGAAGCCATTCATCACTCTCTTCATTCTTGTTTTCAAGTTAAGATAGCATTTACTGCACTTTTACTTAAATGTAAATTACAGTGTAAATTCTTATATTGCAGAATGGTGTTCCCCACATCCACTCATTCATACATGCTCCTAATGGGATCCGCTTTTGTGAAGCTGAGCAGTGCCGAAATGGTGAGAAAAGAATTTGCAGTTTCTCCTACTGTAAATATTTCTGCCGAAGAGATATGAAAATGTTTTAGAGATAGCTAAAGGTGTTACAGAGCTTACAGCACAGTAAGCTGCTCCAGAGGTCTAAAACAAAGAATACCTTTATAGTCTAATTTGGCATCTCTGAGACATGGCTGAAAAGCTAATGTAGCTCTTATTTGTGTATATATATCCTAAACACACAATTCTCAACAGCACGTCCACAAGAAGTGCTATATGCTGTCACAGGCTTTAATAGCATTCTGAGAACAGTCTGCTTACTTTTGTATTATACTATATTTTGCAGTCTCTCTATTATCATTATCCTACATCATGAAACCCCACCACTGTAGGTCAATTGCCTAGTTTGCACTTACTTTCAAAACCCTGTCAACATGCCTTGGTTTTATTTCTAAGCAAGCTGCAGTTTCATTGCTGCGAACCAGGCTGGCTTGAACATGGTGAGCACTCAGGTCGACTTGCAAACAGTTTTTCACATGAAAATATTTCAGAGTGCACTTACTATTTTTGTACGCCACGCATGAACAAAGCACCATTTAGGCTTCACTAATTGTTTTATGATACTTAAAAGACACAGGCTTTCAAGCTCAACTGTCTGTCCATAAATTGGCATTCCAAAGGGAGTGTAAAAATCCTCTTTTGCTATGACTCAACAAGAAAGTAAATTCATGCTCACTGTGTTAGTGTTTCCTTTAACCCACCTTTCAGACTACTGGGAAATGAGCTGAGAGCACTGCATCATTTCACACAGTGGGTTTAAAGGATTTAGACATTAGTTCGGTACCTATCTATTACTGCCCTAGTGTAACTTAGACTATTTCCCATTCTACCCTCTCTGTTTTCCAAATGTGTCAAGGTTAGAACCAGTGGTGAGGCCAGTTTCTGGTAGACAGGACACAAGTCCTGAGAGGCACATTTGAGCACTATCCCTATGTTCCTACTGAAAGAGAGAGCCCGTGCACGTCTCCAGTGTCTCTTAGCCTAATGCTAGCTATCTTAACTACTGCTGTATTTTTGGCAGCCTTAATAGTATAAATATTGGTTTCTGGGAAATGGTAAGAAGGAAACCTGAATTTAAAAAATAGAGAAGAGTTTATGCTTTCCTGAAAAGCTGCTGCTCTTAATGTACAGATTGAATTGAATTTTTCATCATCTTGAAAATCCAGCATGAAATTCTTCAATTTCAGGTTTTACACAAACAAAACAAGCCTGTAAGGCTTACTGAAGAAACCACGTTTCCTTCTTAGCCTTCCCTTCATGTAGTCCTCTAGCTGTTTCTCTAGGATTCCTGCCTAGGTGAACAATAACCAAAGAGAGGATTTCAAATCTGTTTTATTTTTCTCATAAGAGAACCTTCTCTATCTTTAGCATCCTCCTATGCACCTATCAGCCAGGCAAAGAAATTTATTTCTCAGTTAATCCTCTTTTAACACTTTTCTCATCATTAAAAGAAACCCAGTGAGACTTAATAGAATTATAGGCTTATCTTTTTTTGCCATTATATCCACTGATGAAAGGCTCAGAGTTTTTTAGAAACTGAAAACATCATAAGTAACTTAACAGAGTCAACATTTGGCAACTGAAGACACAGCACAAAAAATGCTGAAAGCACAGCACAAGCTGTTCACCTTGAAAGCTTTGTCTATGCGATATATTCTTCAG